TATGGAAAAAATATACTTTTTATCTAGATAAGTTAAAATTTTCATCAATAGAATTGAAGTGAAATATTGCTTTAGAGCGTGAGATACAATTGTTGTTTTTTAACAGGAAGCTAATGAAAGGTCCGATAACTAATCTTTGATAGATACTAAATAGATGTACAAGTTGAAAACTAATGACATCATGGTTTTGAAGAATCTTCAAAATTATGATGACTAATTTTGTTTCAAAATATAGCAAAATACACTTTGATTGAGTTGTGCACTTCCTGCAATACTAAGTTTAACAATTGATTAGATAGATAAAATCAAAGCAAATTTCTATTGATTTTAAGAGAAAAAATTTAACAAATTAATTGGCTTATGAGACTAAAATTAAAGCAAGCAATTTTCTATATGATTGAAATCATTATTTGTATTGAAAAAGAACTAGCTAATGAAATTCAAAATTGGAAAATTTCATGATAACACAAAAATTTGCACCAAATGTATGAAATATATCATAGAGTGAATAAAAATGTTAATTTCATCAATTTAGAACTCTATGTGTTTAACACGTTCATCCAAGTAAAAGATCAATATGATGTCAATAGAGGCAAAAATCAACTAAGGTTTGCATTCAATATGAAGGATATGTCTCAACCAATAGTATATTAGGAAAATGCATCACAATTGTGATTCATTTGTCTTTTAGAATACTATATTTATATGTAATTAATGTGCTTTTGACAAGTTTTAAAAAATTGTTGAACGTCTTTGATAGCAAATTTTAACTTTTTGCAACACAATATCTAATTGTTATAATTGAAGGTATAATATGTTATCAATTTTTCAGGAAAATATTGTGTGTAACTTTATATACTTGATCATATGTGTAACCATGGAGAAGTTGATATTATCTATTTAAATAAATAAATATATATATATAAAGAGAGAGATAGAGAGAGAATCTATGAATTTTCAATATAATATTATGAATTGAAATTTCATATATTTTTTGAGTTGTAAATTTTTTTAGACTTTTTATTGATGATTATGTACAAGTTTTGTACAATGATTTTCTAAAACTGAAATTGTTTCTACATTTGATGTAGTATGTATTAGTTGAAAATATTTTTGCAACAATAACTATTTCAATGTATTTAATGGATGTAAATTATTTGAAGTCAAAAAAGTTAATAGAATATTTTACTTGTCTAGATAAATTTATCACTTAGATGAGACTGAAATTGAATTTTATTTGAAATTATTGTGATGATTAAAGTGTATTATATCTTGCATCAAATCAAGTTAAGTATAGCAAAATGAATATATGATATGACTTTATTAGAGAAGCAAGTTTCAATAATGAACTTAGCTGGTTAAGATTGACAATAACCTCAAATCTACTTTTGAATTGATCAACTTTATACATCTCAAGTGAACATACAAAGCACAAGTAAAATAAACTAGGAAATATATATATGTGAAAGCGGCTAGTTATATCTCACTTAGGGCTAATTAACCTTCACTCTACTCCAGGCTCTTCTCTGATTGGTAGATGCAAGATTATAGGTTCATCGGATGAGTAGAAATCAGGGTAGGATTTAGGGTGTTCGACCAATCTGACAATCTCGTATACTAGGGTGATGGCTAATTAGCTCTGAGTGAGGGATAACTAGCATACACATACATACCTATACATACTTAATCTTTCTTGTTTTGACCATAGTTTAATTTTAGTTTACTCTAATATATAGAGAAACATATGTGCAAGTTTTTTTCTAGAAAATTGTGCATAGTAATTATATATAAACATTATAGTTCCAAGACATTATCCAAAAGTAAGTTTGTTGGAAGTCAAATCAGATTTTGGTTAACTTCAGTTAGCTTGATCGTGGTTATTTAAACTAGTTTGCTTGTCACTATATTAAAAAAATGGTCAAAATTTTCAAGAAACATAAACTTAGGATTTCTTCAAGTAAAGCAATTTTGTTATCTCGATGTAGTTCAACAAAAATAACCATGTGTCTCGTATGTTGGCTTCCTTTCATGTGTGTGTTGTATGTGTGTCAGCTTTATCTAATTTTTTTTGAAGGTTAAAAATACTTTTGTGCTTGAGTCTTTGAACTGTAATTTTTTTCAAATCCAACTAGAATATAAAACTTTTGATAATCTTATACCTTGAATTGATTTAATTCTAAAACTTAAGTAAAGTTTGCCACTGTCAACTCTTTGAACACACTTAAACAAATAAAATCGATGCAGATTTTGCCAACATACTTTTGGCTTTCCAAGAATTTTCATACTTTTTACTCTAAAATCCACTCAGTTTCAGAAGTAATTTTTAATTCACAAAAAATTTGATGATTCTTAAAGTACTAACGTAAAATATCTCATTAGAATCGACCCATAACCAGATCATCACTTACCAACTCCACATTTTTACATATTTTCTCTCAACCATGGCTCTCCAGTGGTCAGTTTTAAAAATTGAATCCTACTCTTATTCGCGAAGTTAACTATAACATAAGTAGCTAAAGGTTGTGCGTTGTGTGTCCACACAACAAATAAAGAGTTTGAAAGCAATAGATTGAGTGGTTGAGAGTGTTATCTTGGGTTCTTCGAAGTGAGAAAGAACTGTAGAGGGGTTTCTGTAATTTGACGAGGAGGACAGGCATAATATGTTCTTGGGGTACAAGATAAGGAATTTACAGGTGGAGAACCAAGGACACGTGAGCTTTGCATGTAATGGTGTCCAGCATCTTTGTACAGTATTTCGCAAGGTTTCCAGACTTTCCGGTCGGCTGTCCCCGTGTGCTGGCCTTTTCCAAGTTGGCACCTTCCGTACTGAATTAATCAGACATATAGGTCTGCTCATCATATACTAGTCCTCGTTGGACTCCGGTTTCTATCATGTCTTTGCCGTTGAAGGACACGCGTGTTCGAAAGAGCCTTTTACTCCCTGAATCCTCGCTGGAGAGACATTCAGTCGTCCATCTCGATCGTGTTTTTTTCTTCCATCGAGACACCTCTTAGAAGAACTTGGACGACATTAGTGAGATGACCTCTATCATGCACCGCAGCTATAAATGACTTCTTTGCGAGCATATTCTGCTCTCGACGACCTAGATAACCTCTCCATGCCCGAAATCTACTCCATTATTGACTTTCTTTCGCGGTGCTCAGTGAGTCAGGGCCTTTAACAACAAATTTCATCGGCGAAACGTCGGTCTTGTGTGTATTCAGAACCTTACATTTAAGCGAAATGTCCGGTCTTGTGTCAATATGATACCATTCAGAACCTTATATTTCCGTCACAACAACTTACTACTGACAAATGCACATCAGTCCAAGAAACTCGAATTGTCTTTTCAACCAGTCATTCACGAAAATAAAATGTTGCTTACATGAAAAGAAATCTAAAGTTGGGCACAAAGACATTAGATCGAATAGATACCCATTAAAAAAGGACATGTTCAAAACAAAGAAAGGAACGGTCATGTTTGACGGTAAAGTCCGAATTAACACAGTAGAGTGTATATAAAAAGAAGCAACCTAGGAAGAATGTAGGTGTGACGTAAACAGACATGTGGTCAATATTGACAGTAGCAGAACTCACCCTCACATCTGATGCTGAACTTTTCTTGAAAGTAATTGACTTTTCACAAATAGGAGATATGGAAGACGAACCCACTACACAGGCTAATATTGTATAGATTATAGATTCTTATTAGAAAAAAAATCCTAGTGAGAGAGGTTAATCATAAAAAATTGAGTAGTATACTATCCTTTTCCATGTGTGAAGTCCCAAGAATCCGATTTACATGCAGGAGACCATTTTCACTTTTTCCTCAGTATTAATGTGCTGATGTTGCAAGGTTTCAGTGTTTTTATTGCCATGCCAAAAGGACTCGGTGGGCACAGAGTAACATCCAGCCGTGCCAGAAGGTGACTTGTCCAATCTTGAAAAGATATCCTCGGAACTCATACGTGGCTAACTTCTGATAAGAGGATAGAAGCTCTGCGATGACATGCGGCACAAAAAAGGGGCACCGTCGGATCGAGAAAATGCACCGTCGAGATTTGCGGCAGTGGATGGTCATGGGGGCGATGCCACAACACATCCATCGACGGGGAGCGGAGCAGTTCCACGCGTCGAGTTCCGGAGGCCATGTGGAAATGGCGGAAAGCAAAACGGGTGCCGGGAGAAGCATTTGAGGAGAAAAGTTGACAGTGAAGACGAGTGAGACAGACGCAGATTGAGAAGAGAGAAGAAGAGAAGAGAGGAGAAGAGAAGAAAGAAAGCACAAGGAAGAATAGGGAAGGAAGGACAAAGAGGGAGGAAAGGAGGTGGGGAGGGAGAGAGAGAGAGAGAAAGAGAGAGAGAGCGAGCGATGGTCGGTCGGTTGGTTTGATCGTAGCGGTCTGCTGGGTCGGTCAGTCGGTCGGTCGGTCTGTTGTTGAGCCAGAGAGGAGCAGTGCAGAGGAGGGAGAGATGGAGGGAGGAGGAGGCGGTGGGGACTGGGGAGACGAGAGGAGGACGACGAGTTTGGAGAGGGAGAGGGAGAGGGAGGAGTAAGTGAGAGTGTGTGTGTTTGAATCTCTTCCTTTCCTTTGGGCAAGCAGGAGGCGGATAGAGCATCACATCCTTGTCGATTCCATCCCCGGCGCGCCCCCGCATCCATCCCAGCCCCGCGCAGCGCAGCCCAGCCCAGCCACCGTGTCGGCCCGCCCGCCCGCCCGCGTTCGTCACCCCGCGCTGCTGTGGCGTTGCGACTGGGAGGAGGAGCGGGGAGGGACACATTGTGGAGCGGAGAGAAGTTTGGGAGGAGTGGATGGATGGAAGGATTGCGAGCGAGTGGGTGGAGGAGGGACTGAGGACAAAGATTGCGAGAGGTGGTTCCGAGGCAGGGGGTGCTGGGAAATTGTCTGCGAGGAGAAGGATTGCGGCCGAGGCTTTTCGAACGACCTGACCTAGAGCAGAGGAGAGCAGAGGCGTGGCGAGGCGAGGAGAGTAGAGGAGAGTAGAGGAGGGAAGGGAAGGGAAGGGAAGGGAGGAGGAGGAGGAGGAGGAAGAAGACGATAGGATTTCGAGGTTTCTTCCGAATGCTGGTCTGTGGTTGATTTCCTGGTTCTGCAGGAGATATGTTTGTGTTCTGTTTGATGATGAGCTTCGAAAGAGAGGAACCGTTCTGAGTAAGCTCTCTCTTTGTGTACTGCACATCAAGCTTGCTGGCGACTGCTGTCATGTAGCCAGACTGTCTCAACTTCTGAAATTTTCCGTACTTCTTGATACAAACATTGAAGTGCTTGCGCAGACAAGTATTTCTAACAAAAAAAAAGCCCAAAAAAACCCTAAATTGGAGCACATTCCTTTTGCTCTTGTTTCTGTTTTCTTTCTGCGCAGTCCGCCCCGGAGATTTATGTTTCGGTACACAACAAATAGTTGATAGTTTACGTACTCTGCTCCCGACTTTGGCAATCAAATTGCTTTCAGCCCCACACAGTTTTTTTTTTTTTTTAAATATTCGCGAACAAATCTTGACTTCGCAGGCAGGTCTCTGCCGATTGTGTATCAAACTTCTAGCCCCTGCGTTCACCTGTCCTCATTCCCGTGAGCCAGCCCCCAGTGCTTCTCGTTACCACCTCTTACAGATATGGCGTCCTTGTTCGTGAATACCGCCTCGGACTATCTCGGTTACGGTTGGTTTGGTGTTGGCGCGAGGCGAGGGTTTGTCATGGATGGAGGGCAGTGGAGGACTGGATGGTCCACATTACAAGAAGACGATCGATCGAAGTTTGGTCTTGATCCCGGACCGTGTGTGCCATTACAGGATATACGTGGTGATCGTCTGATCAACGCACTTTTGGATGATCAAAGTGATTTTGATACTGGGACCGAGACACCTGAACCTTGGGGAAAAGGTAGGTGCTACAGGGAGGAATGGTTCGGTGGTGGTTACGCGAATGTTACCAGAGAACAGAGAGACAGGATGACCAGAGGTCAGTTCGTGAAGGACTCGGCCCTCTCTATCGGGTGTGCGGGAACGCTTGGTAAGAGAGAACATGATGACAAAATTGAACTTGTTGGCGAGAAAAGGAGACAAGCCGAGACACGGGGAATTGATGCCATCGTCCAAGGCAGACTGGTCGGTGCTTCAAATGAGAAACGAGGAGACGAAATTGGGACTCTTGGAGATTTGAGAAGCTGTGCGGGGGTTCTTGATATGGATCTCATGACTGAGGGATTCAAGGATGAGGCTATCGTCTTGGAGAAATACGGTCGCTGTGCAGCCGACCTTGTCAATGACCGAGCAGTCTTGGACTGGGGGGGAGGAAGTAAGTCTCTGTGGGAAGAGGCGCTTGATGCATGTTTGGAGCCTCCCGAAGCTTCCATGCTGAAGTCGGGAGTTGGTTATCACGTAGATGATGACCACGAATCTCTTGTGCATCCTTGCGCAGAGCACCTTAGCCCGCTATGCACGTCGTGCAGCGACCCTGTGGTCGGGCAGATGATGGGTAGGACAGCCATCCCTTACATCAAGGGAGGGCTTGTCGGGTGTAACTTGGGAGGAGTATGGTCTGGAAATGTTTTTGTGCAACCTGGGTCATCTTCGAGCGAAGATATTTTGGGAGAAGTAAGGGGTCGACAGCTTTGGGAAGAAGACTCGAAAGAGGACGACTCGAATGCTTGTGCGAACCGAACTGGATTCGTGCTAGGCGTAGGTGGCCAACATAACCCTGGAAATGTTGAAAATGGGAAAAATGATGGTCCCCCAGAAGGCTTCAGTTTTGCCCTCTCTCATCTTGATCTTCGTTCCCTTCTTACACTAGAGAGAGTGAGCAAGTCCTTACGAGAAGCCGTTATTGGAGATGCTCTCATTTGGCAGCACTTAAACGTGTTGCCGCCTCTGAGCATGAGCATCACGGACGATGTCCTCATTAATCTGGCCAAGAGAGCTGAGGGACATCTGAAGAGTCTAACTCTCTTGGAGTGCATAAGGATAACTTCGGCCGGTCTCGAACAAGTTCTTTCCTTCAGTCCAGAGCTGGAGAAGGTCAGTGTTAGTTTTGAATGCATGTAGGGAATCGTGCTTAAAATGTACTCATCTGCTTCATTTTTCGTCCACGTCCCTGGTGTCTAAATTTTCTACCTGGTGTTAATCCCGTTATGGAACAGATGGATTTAGGATGGGATGTAAGTGGATGGGTTCGCTTCGATGTCTTCCGTCTTTTCACATTTTTGAGGGGGTTTGTTTTTGGTCTATTTGGCAGCTTTGTATACCGAGGTGCACTGGAATCAAGGCGGAAGCAATTGTGAGGATGGTCGAAAGACACGCATTGGAGAGTCGGTCCAGAGGATTATCTGGCATCAAGCTGCTGAGGATCAAGGGCGTGTACAATATCACGCGTCAACAGCTGGACGTTCTCCTCGGCGTTTTACAACACGGTCGTGATCAACAAGAACTACGTAAGAGTTACAGGCCCTATTATTACCGTCATGGCAACTATGGCATTCAGCGTGATCTTGCAAGCGACGATGAGCGCCCAATAGATGTGGAGCCTTGTCCCAAATGTGGAAATGCAAGAGTGGTCTATGATTGCACTCGGGAGACTTGCCAACAAGAGAAAGCGCACCCTGGTCTTACGTGCAGAGGATGCACTTTGTGCATTGCCCGATGTGAGGAATGTGGGACATGCGTCGATGATGTACTTTACGAGGAAACGTTCTGTCTAGATCTGCTCTGTTCAGCCTGCTGGTACCGTTTGCCGAAGTGCACAGAGTGCAACAAACCGGGATGCGGTCGACACGCTGAAGACAGGTTCCCAGGAATATCTTTCACCTGTGAGGATTGTTGTGCTGGAGCAGCAGGCCCCGAGTTTCACGCACCTGCAGACATGTGAAGCAAAGCCACTGTGTACTATATGAGTTCAACTCTCAATCAACGATACTGGTATGTGTCTTTGGAGAAGCTTGTCCAGGTTTTGGTATGCAACTCATACGGATAACTGCCAATTTATTTTTTGGGGAGAGACTAAGTTGCAATTGTTAGCTATGTATGGCCTATATTGTTCAGTCGATGAGCGAAGAGTTAGCTTACTCTCCGGTCATGGCCCTAGAAATTCAATGTGGACGATTTTGAGAAGGATTGGATTTGTTGTGCTTAGTCACCGGTCGACACCATGCGGGCGATTATCATTGACGGATTTGAATGCTCATTGTGGTGTGACATGACAGGGAGCTCACGGGCCTATGCAGCGAACTTCACGAATGAAAGTTTTGGAGACCTTGAAGTGCTGTTTAGAGGCCGTGTGCTCAGATGTAAGTTAAGATATTGTGAATACACTTTAGTCACTGAAGAAGCGGAGTCCGATCACAGAAAATTTGTGTTCAGAGTATTAGGAGCAGGATAACTTTAGGGTTCAATTAGTTGATAGACTTTAGAGAATGTAGAAGGGCCAGAGGAAAGGATTCCTAGTGAAGTGCCCAAGCAGTTGGGTTTAGGTCTCAGAGCCTATGATGCAAACAGACTCATACACATAGAAAATGAAAGAATTGACATGTACGCAGAAGTTTTTAAGCCCCTTGGAAAGAGTAGCCTCGCGGCCCATACACGAGAGTGAGGGAGATAGAGAGAGCGACGAAATTGTACTTGTAGAGCAGAGCTGAGTGACGTCCCCGGTCCACTTGAGGGATTGCATACATAAAGTACTGCAAATGATCTCTCTGTTGTAGTGTCATTCTACAGAGAGATCACACTCACTGATTTGCTGATAATAGTCGGACCTCAGAACAGAGAGATGGAGAGATTATAGTCATTTAGCAATAGCTCCCCATCCTCTGGAGACGTCTGCGCCCTGGATGGAACGACCTTTTATCATGGATGGTTTCGAGGCAGCACAGTGATCCCTTTATGAGATAGGGAGGACTCTCCTGCAGAGTTATGAAGATGGGAATCTTCCAGGTTTTTACCAGGATTCGAATCAGCCGGTGAAAGAATGGATGTATTCGTACAGCAGTGCCTGTTATAGCCTCTCGATCAGAGACCTCAAGCCCTGCTAGAAAGAGATTTCATAACAGAATTTTTTTGGAAAGAGATGAGAGGAAGAGATAGACGGGGCCAAAGCGCCCCTGAAGTATACAGAGTGTGACTAGTCCTTGAGCACTCCTTTTAGAAGAGTCAAGCGGAAAATTTTACATCTGCTTCTCAATTCAGTGGTCCTGAAATCAGTATCTTAAAAAGATAATTCATGGCGGCCACTGACCCAGCGTTTGGCGTTGTTATTTGAGCCAAACTTGCGATCTATCCAGCATTACACCTTTATCATCCACATGTTCTTGCTGGAGGAGAACTGTTTCTTTACCCTAGTTCGACGTGCTTCACCTTTTTGGAATCACGTCACTATTACTTGCTTCCTCTGGCTTCTTCCTTTTCTTTTTTTACTGGGAAGATGCGGTGGGGCGGCCAAAGCCGATAACTTTGAAAACAGGCTTTTGGTCCGAGATCATTCCGGGTAATCCAGTCCGTCACAGGGTGCACACAGGAGGAGTCGGCAGGAACGGCTGTTGGCGACCATCGAAAATTCCGCCACTTTATGGTCTAGCACCGCGAAATTATCCTGCTGCTGTGGAGAGATTCGGTCTGGTGACCAGGAGCTGAGACTTTGTCTCCGTTCGATGACCTTTAGTAGGGAGCCTCTTATATGTCCAATTGATTCCATGTCGGATTACCTGGTCGTACAGTATCTGGGAAGTGGTTTAAATACTTCTGAAAATGGGCAAATGGATTGGGTGGTTGGTCTTGTGGAGCGCCGCGCCGCGCTGCTATGATCTAAAGCTCGATGACGACTAGCGACTCGAGGAATAGTCTCTTTCAAACTTACAGGTTGAAGGTGAAAAGTTTCTGTAATATTTTCATTGGAGGCCTCTGGCTTGGCATGGTCACAAATGGTGGGCGACATCATGGGTAGTACTTGTGTTTTTTCTGGATTCGCCCAACGACGACATTCGTCTTCGTCAGCTGCAGGGATCTCTGAGATGTTGTCACTGAGATGGGATCACTGTTAAGAGGACAGTATTGCAGTTGGTGGAGTGTGACACAGTTGTACTGTTTTGAGCTGCATCGATCTTGACTCAAGTCAGCTCGGTGTCGAAGTGGATTGAGAATGATTGCTATACCGATGTAACATGTGTCTCCTACTCAGCTCATTGTAAGCATGAGATTTTGCTTCTATCTCTTTATGTCCTAGCTGTGAGGTATATATGTTTCTCAGGACGAAGTTCTAAGGAAATGTACGTTTCGTTGCGGATATGGGTAGTGCGTGTTTTTGATTTATCATTCTCAGTTGCAAAGAAGATTGAGAGATGTATGTCGCTTGGAGTCTACGATGCCTATACCATGAATCTTTGTAGGTGTTTTCATCGTTATGACGCTTCCCATTGAGCCATGATACTCAATATGGTAAAGCAACTGACCCGTTAGAATTGGTACACGTTCAACGCAGGAGCCGGGTCTACGATTCCACGCTGCCCCAATCGTGTTAAGGAATGTGAAAGACTTTGCAGTATGAACTGAAGTGTGAACACATCTGCCAGGTTAAGAAGTAAAATGGAGGTGAGAACGGACTTTCTTAGCTGCAATGTCACTTTTGTATTCATCATCTAGCGCAGGGATAGCGCAGTACACTAACGTCACCTTTGGAGTCTTCTTCAGACTATTTGATGTCAAGACTAGAGTAAAGTTGCTGAGGAGGATTTCTGACGCGGCATGTCACTGAATCTGTGTTTTAAGTAGCAGGCCCAGCCGAAGAGAAGACCACGATGTCGTCGGCGAGACGAAAAGCGTCTTTGGGTTGTGTTAATGATGGTTTACGTTTAAACCAAAAGGAATTGTCTATTGCTGGATGTGGCCCTTGAAGTGAAGTTTTTTCTGACGTAGCTGGCGAAGATCACCACACGGGGGAGCACAGATAGGCAAGTTTCAAGATTTAAAAAAAAGTAGGAAGTATGTCATCACAAGGTCGCCAGAGAGAAAACTAGTGATACATCTCTTTTTGTTAAGAGAATGCACAGGCTGAGCTTGCTCTTTCCTAAACAATACGAAAGGTTGTATTACTTCGTACAGGTGTCTAGTATATCGACATGGTGATGTTACCCCTGGGTTTTGCCATGGTAGCGTCTCAGTCATGACTCCGAACAAATCCTCTCAACGCTGGTCAAGTCAAAGCGTGAGAGGGAAATGATATTTTTCGGTCGTACAGCGCTATCTTTCCAAAGATAGCTTCACATAGCTAAATCTTAAGTGGAGTGAAACGAGATTTATTTGAATAGCATTTGTATGTCGGAAAGAAGTTGCATAGGGTCAATAGCTCTGGGTTAACAGATGGAAGTTTGCCCATGCGGTCACACTAAATGCGATACCCTTGTATCAAACTTTCTGCTAGCACTGCTGAGTAGAATATCGATCATTTGTTCGCCTCCGAATCGATCCTTGCACAGAAGCTTCTGAGTGTTTCGTTTTGACGTGTGATGAATTAAGATTATGCCAATCCTGATAGAATGTTTGCGTCTATTGTTGCCCTTCAATTTTGAGAGTGTTGAGATGAAAAGTCGCTTTACTAATAGGAGAGTATTTAGAATGTTGTTTCTTTTTCAGAAAAGACCAAAAGGGCGTGAATTTTAAGCGTGAACAGGGAAATGTATTAAGCCTTGCGGCTCCGTAGTCGTCTCGCATGGTTGTCTTGCCCGCGATCGAGTATACGAAACTTATAGATTGGAATCTACACAACGATAGTAGGTCAACACATCGTTGACCCCCTAGCCCGTGATTGCGTGTATGAATCACGAGGGATCTCGACCTCTCTCTACACCTTCATCTAGATTCTAAACAAGGCAAAACAAATATGTCACCAAATCTTAATGCCTGAACCATGTTGAGACATGATACTTCTTCTCACTGGTTGCAACTATTACGCGCCTCAATTACTCCTATCTTACGTATTTCACCTTATGATGATTCAGGCCGCGAGTCGATGTAATTTCACCACAGGTCAAAGAGTACATGCGCATACGGAATCTGCAGCGGTGCCGGTCTACGTGAACAGAATGAGTGTAGCTTAATGCTCCAGCATCGCGTGGCTTTCAGCAGGAACTTAAACAGGAATGGTTAAATGGCCTGTTCCGGACACCGAGCCCAAGGCTCATTTAGAGTGCTTTGGGGCAACTAAAGTCTTCGGATGAAGAGCCAAACAGACAGAGACAATAAAAATGAACCTCAAAATCTTGAACCATGCACATAAGCGTGGATAGAAATTGCTGATGAACGTGGCGTGCTGAGAGTAAATACAAAGGTCAACAACCGCTTCAGCTGATCAGTGGGCTTCCGAACGCCGGAGTGATTCATTACCAAGCGCATGAATGGATCAATCGGTACTCAATGTTTCAACAACTTTCTCCCTTATTCGAGATCGACGGAGAGTCTTTCGGAACCGAGCTGTTTTGCACTCGAGATGCCCATTTCCTTTGACCTCCGCAGCCCTGCCACACCTGCTTCTGCTGAGGCTTGTGTCGAGGCTACATGGACTCCAGGACATCGCCTCGGTCACATGCCGCTTCGTGTGTCGTCTGCCCGTTGGTAAAGGAGACCGATGGGGCCGTACTCGCCCAGAGGCTCCAGCCGCAACGCAAATGCTCGGCTCCGATGGCGCCCCGGTTTTTAAGAACTGGGCTCGGGGGTCGATCATCCCGAGGGAGAGGAATCCGGTGCCGCAAAAGCATGATTTCCACGTGGCAGAGGAGGAACTCTCCCACAGGGGAGGAGGAGCGCAGGATCGCTGCGAACATGCGCGTCCTATCGTGCAGAGTTGAGAACTGTGCCTTGTGCTGCAGTGGGGGCTAACCTCGGGGCCTGAATTACCGGATCTGGCTAAGTTTAGCACGCCAGGTGGTCCCTGCCCACTGGGGTTTAACCGGACGAAGGCCACAGTCCTCCCTCCACAAAGCTGGTTAAAGCTGGTTAACCTGAGCTGTAGCCGATTAATAAATCATGCGCAATCAGGAAGGAAGCAGCGGAAGGTGCTCCGGCCTTGATAATAATACTCCGCAAAATTCGAGCGCGACGCATTTCCGGATAGAATTTGCGCTCAGTCGGATCAGACGAGGCGGTTCTCGGCCAGTGCCGCAGGTGCGGCGGGCATGAGAACACAGACGTCGTACGCACGCCCAAGAGAGAGAAACAAGGAAAGAAACAAGGAGACCAATCTTGGAAGGCTTTATAAGTCCGGAGTTCGTCGTCGAGGCTTGATACGTGTGCAGTGGCTTGTGGATGGAATCGCTTCTGGTGTTGATGGCATGGGGGCGAACGAATGAATACGATACGTGGTGAAATAAATTGCGAGTGGCTCTTACTGTCCACTGTTGAGGCCCCGACCACAAGAGCATGATCGTCAGAGAAAGAGAGTTTGCTGCTGTAGCAAGAAACTGTAGAGGGGTCAGCATGCCAACCACTGGTGGGTGCCTACAAGTCAGTCGATTGATCCGAGGCCGGATGATCACGATAAAAACTCTGTTGTCTTCAAACGTGCCTAGACTCGCGAAAATTGGGGAGTAGAAAGCTCATGGAGAGTATAGCGTGGCATTTTTTCATGTGGACGCTGGATTTGAGGGGTGGCATTCTCGCAGCGGATGGTTCTCCCCGGCCTACGTCCTCGTCTAAAGACGCTGACGCGCTGCAAATGAATTGGAGCGCTCGCGCCTTTGACAGGTTCGGGCGAACGATGCTCGATGCAGCGCAAGGATTACAGAGATGGGACGGCTCGTCGATCTCCGGTCTAGCTCCTCTGCGCTGCTGTTGCTGGTTTTCTGAGAGTAGTCACTCTGATGTTGCCCAATTCTCTTGATCATACCGAACTGAAGTCGCAGACATTGAGAGCTCGGGTCGCCAAAACTGGCGGCTGATCCGTACAAGCTATTCATGCATCTGTGGATCGGTCTTGCTAGATACTCCATCGAGTCCACATGCTCTGTCTGTCCTTCGTACGAGTCGGACTGTGGCAGTATGGTGTGTGGAGCCAAGTTCGGTGGTCGAAACGCGAAATTCGGTGAACAATGTTCGAATATGATTAAGTACCCGGGTGCAGAAGCTCTGTAGTGGACTGAAATGTAGTGTAAGTGATGGTGAGAAACTCTGCGAGTAAATTGCTGCCCAAATCATTCTTTGAACCAACTGTTCTATGGCTTGAATTAAAATATGTCGAAAATCTTAGATGCTCAGAGAAGGCAGAGAACAATATGCTCAGACTGAGATTGAAATACAGGCCGGGAGCCTTTACGAAGCCGACTGGAACACTGGAGCACCGAGATGCGAGCTCAAGTGGAGGGTCGGCAGCTTACGCTGGTTTTAGACTGTGAAAGGAGAATAACTCGGGGCAGATGATACGAAGAATTATTCGACGTCCTCATGGAAACTCTAGCGTCAGCTATCGCTGCTATACCTCCAGCGTCGCACATCATCAAGCATCTCTATTTGAGAAGCAGATTGCCTCGGGTAATAATTTGACCACATTTTCCGCAGGACAAGTGTATCCAGCCTGAATTCAATGTGGAATTGCAGCTAGTCTACTTCGGTATTCTTCAGTTGGTGGATCGATACTCAATTCTAATGCTGCTTCAGTCATAGGGTCCAAGCGAATAGATAGATGAACAAATTCAACAACCCAGACTTCTCACTCTTCTGAATTCTTGTCCACTTTATACTGACGTTTTAATGTGGATATTCTACGTTCTCAGAGGGCTGGGGATGTTACGGTCTGCACCCATTGCTCCCTTGACAGGTTTGTCTTCTCTTTCGAACTTTTTCGTCAAGTCGGTAATAATTTTCCACTTGGACTTGGTTGGTATCTGCATGTACAGCATCAGTATCAACGACTGACGATTGTCAGAAGTTTCCGAAATTTGTATTCTCTAAACATTTCACTCTTTGCTTCCATCAGGTTGGAGAGGCTTGAAGCTCAAACCAAATGCTGGAGTGGGGTGATATGCGCTGCTGTGATGGTTCCCTGTCCCTGCTCCCCAGCTTCTATTCGTCTTGCTGCAAAGCGGGTGCGCGCTTTACACGCAAAAGTGGAGGATGGTCCTGGGCTTTGTCGACTAGACATTGTTCTTGTTTGTCATCGACGGAGGCGTACATCAGTTGTTTCCTGCGCGGACCCTTGGCAATATCCTGTAAGTGAATATCTAGCTGTGTAGATAATGAGTACTTCGGTCTAGCCGGAGATGCTGGTTAGTTTTCAGATCTTTCTTATCTTCAATTTTCCGTGAAAGTGAAAGTCTCCAATTGTATCTACCCCATTCGAAAGTTCAGTTCAATGTCGGGTTTCACTGATCCTTTTAGCAGAGCATTCCAAAAGTTGTTGGTAATATGACGAACTGTGACATTATAACACCAATGTCGCCTCCTCGGGGTTGGCCTTTGTCTCAATTACATCTTCGATCGACGGACAAGCTTACAACAGCACCACATGACGAAACTAGAGAATTTTTTTACCTCTTTTTATAGAATTTAGTCTTGTCTAAATTTCAAATTGACTCTACCTTTCGGATGTTACAGATTAACGCTTTGCGAAATGTAGCGCTACGCTTTGCCGCAACAGAGCTGGTTTTACTCCTTGACGTGGATCTACTTCCAGGTTCTCTATATATCTAGAATGTGGATCCTTGTGCTGCAAAATCTTGATTCTGAACTACTATCTTGAGATGTATCGTATGGTTTCGTCGTTGCCATGGCATAGTAAACTGAAGCGTGAACTTTATTCTCTATCGCAGGTCTTGGTATACAGGAGGAGCTTTGGAATCATGATGTGTATGCTGGATATCATCGAGCATGCACTGAACTGAGAAGGGTTATTGTTCTACCTGCGTTACAACAGGTTTCTCCTTCAAGAGAATCATCTCCTATAAGGCATGAAATTCAGGCCGGGCTTAGCATTGTTTCTTCCGGTAAGAGGATTAAGAACAACCAAAAGACTTAGTCTTATCTTCTGAAGCTGTTTCAGTTTGAATTTTCAGAAGCACACTACGGTTTTGCAATTTAACAGAAAATCGTACTGCAGGAAAGGCCCACGTAGTGAAAATGTGGGAGCAAGGAACTGTGAGAGTTTTTGCTTCACATGTATACCCACTGGGTCATGGATCAACAGATACTGAGCGATGGCTTTCATCAGTTGCAGTAAGACACCGCCCACTTTTGAATTGAATTGTGTACAAGTGCACTCTCACGGATTTGGCCTATTCAATTACTTCTTGATGTAATGGTGTTGCCCAAAGTAACTTCACGTCTTAAGTTAGTTACTTACTTAAGTTTCTCAAATTTAGAAGCCGATGTTGGAATATCCCAACAAAACTTTCAATGCGATAGCACTTTAATTTCATGATTTATATCTGTGCAGATGTATCAGGTCCAATACAAGGATGGATATGAACCTTATCTGCTCTGTGCTCGTCGTTTGGTGCCATGGTACGTCTGTTATACATGTTTGATACTACTTAGTCTGAGTATGGATGCTTTTACTAAAATTCGATGGCAGTTTACAGTGTCTTTTATCTTGCTCCCTTAATTCCTTGTGTATGCGAAGGTGCAGTCGGAGTAGGTAGGAAGTTGGTCCGAAATAAGCCTGGATCTTTAGGTAGTTAAATTAACATGAAATTTGAGCATCTCCCAACGGTTACACAATTTATACGATTTGCGTTTTACTTTTAAAAAGGTATGATGAGCGCTTCATCGGCTACGGAAGGAACAAGGTCATACATGCTTTTCATGTAGCGAGCTTGGATTTCAGGTGCGCCAGCAACTTCTTCATCTAAATTTGTCATCTATTTTCTGTACCATTCTTTACGGACAATTTTTCAGTATGTTTGTATACAAGAATACCTAGAAATGGCACTCTGACGAACCTTATATACGCTTATCACATTGCATGCACAGGCCAGAAAAGCGTTTCTATCTGTGGTTGTGAAGTTATGCGAACGTTGTTAGCTGCCAATGAAACCTGATTATATAGTTAAACTTGTTGGCTTTTCGCCGATGTTGGATTAGTGTAGCTCTCAACGCCTCTTTAATATCGGCATCTCAAATCCTCTTGCTTTTGTGTATGGTGCGAATTGCAGGTTTTGGGTACATCCTGACTGGTTTGTGGTGCATGTGGATCATCCACTGTCCCCAGCCTGGATCAAAACTTTGGGTCCTGATCCTCGTGCCAGCCAGCGACTTCGGGATGTGAAATCACTGTATGATGCTGTGAAATCTGAGCTTGTTTCGCGAGCGACGCACACAGGAATTTGCCTCTCTCCTGGAATATGCGCTTGGGATGTACCCTCTCCAAGATCTTCAAGAATACGTCACAGTCTTCCTCCCTACTTGTGGTCCAAAGCAACACACCGGACTATGAGAGAGGAGAAAATGGGGCATTGGAGCTGTGCTGATAAGCCTCCGGATACGCTTATCAAGAGTAGTACTCCTGAGGTATGTCCAGGTTGCTTGTGAGGAGTAACTTACTTTAATCTTATATTAAGATTCCCGATGGATATTAATTTCATTATATCCTTTCATTTCTGCTATCAAATACTACTACTGCAATTCTCCTCGCAAATCGCAAAGATTAGTCAAATTTTGTAAACACAGCCAACTGATACATTGTTATTGCTTGATCTTCTGTCTCAGTACATGGAGGCTTTACATGACCTGCGTTACCACTACGGTACTTCAAAACTTCGTCCAGTTAGTGGCACTTGGCCATTGCGAAGCAAATTGCCCAGAAGATCCAGAGATATCACACTTGTCACTGTTGCCACATGGGACCGCCTCCAACGGCTGTCAGCACAGTGTCGTGTGTGGAAAGGGGTCATAAGTGCTGCTATATTTGCTCCTCATAACATCGACGTCGAAGCTCTGAAGGCAGACGTACTAAGTTTACATGACGAGGTTGAAAAGGCGAGGAGATGTCGGCTGGATATTATTCTTTTGGAATCAGCTGTGGTCGAAAGGCGTTCTTGTTGCTGCCAGGTGCCAGGAGTTTTACCTATGTGCAATTGTACAACTAAACAGTACTCTACCATTGAGCTCTGTCCCATAAATGCTTTGCGAAATGCAGCCTTGGAACTCGCAATCACAGACCTTGTGCTTCTGCTAGATGTTGATCTTCTGCCTGCTTCTTCTCTCAACGGTTCGTGGTCATACTTATAAATTCGAACTTTTCAAAATTTATATTCGTTTAGTGCGACTTTCCCCCTTTCTGGTTGTCTGTATGTCGTTCTTGGCTTTGTAGAACGTTCTCATGGAAGCACGGAGAATAAGTTTCTCTCTCAAAATGTCAGAATAGTGTTGTCACTCGGTTCAACTACTACATTGGAATTCTCAGTTTGTGATTGTCCTTGAGATATAAATTCGAGCGTTATCGTGATGTTGTTTTATATATAGTACAGTATTTATGAAGAAATGTTAGTGTGAGGTCCTTGAACTTCAGGGAATGAGAGGCAAATACTAAAAGTTCAGTTATGAAGAATGTAGTATCGTCCTTAACAGCTCAGACGTCCATCCAGTTTACGATATATATAATTACTAGGATGAATTGAGTGTAAGGAATGTGCACTCATAAGGTACTATTTACGGGCTAGCGTGCAGAGTGCTCAGACGATGAACAGCAGTACAAGTGTCTTTGGAGAATGGCGTCTGAAGAGAAAACTGCCATGGTTGTTCCCAGCTTTCAGTTTTCATGGAAGAAGTTTACGACCTCAACAAATCTACCGCTTACACAATCTACAGGTAACTTCGCTTGTTCATTCGTGTTTTTAGTTTCTTTCTTCAGTCCCATTTGGAAGGGACCGAAGATATAGTCTATAGTGTATGTTGCATGACTTCACTATATGTCGTGTCTTTCATAAGTTTCAGAATGGAGGGCTTTCTTGGGTTGGACTGATTTCTTCGTTCTCTAGGTAACACTGCCAAACTGACAGGTGGTCTTGTTCTTGGTCTTAGTCTTTCATATTCGCCTTTCTTCTACTCCTTGTCTTGTTCCACTACCGCATACACGCATTCTATCACAATTTCATTTCATATATGACATTCTCCGGGTTATCTGTCATTGTTTCACGCTTCTTTCCTTCTCGTAAATCGTTGGCACCCTTGACACGTACCAGGTAAATTTGATTTGTTTCTGTCAGTTGCATGCTAAGCCCCCTAGATAGATTATGCACTATCTTATCTATCATAAGCTTCATAAGGTATTTCAGACCAACCGTAAAACTTGAAGCAGATACAACAATCACAGGACACGTCATGCCTCAGGGGTCCTATTATGTAAGAAAAGTTGATAGTAGAAAGTTGAGGAGCAGAGAACTAAGAATTTCTTTTTTCGAAACAGATGTAGATATCTCAGATGATGAGATCGGAAGTTATCTACCAAGTGTAGCCAGAGACTCCTTCTCAGAGTACGACGAAGAGGAGTTGCAGAGACAGGGTAGATCTCTTGCTAGTCTTCGTCAACAAGCTGCTGTGATATCTCGTGCAGAGAGAATAGCAGAACAAGGTGTCGATGCTATCCGGAAGGGATTGGCAGACGGTTGGGTCTGTGGTTTCCATTTGAAACATTATCCCTGTGGCCATGGACCGACAGATTTCGATCGCTGGAGGGAAGTATCTCAAGCAGATGCAAAGATGACCATATGTTGCGCTGTCTGCCGGTCATATCCTGTCCCGTATGAAGAAGGTTTCGAACCATTTGTCATCTGCTCAAGAGAATCAATACCCAGATTCGATGAGCGGTTTAGAGGATATGGCTATGATAAGGTTTCGTTTGTTCATCATCTACATCTATTAAGATTTAAGTTTAGGGTGCTTTCGCACACATATTCCTTAAACATCCCCCATGCAAAGTCTTCGGACTGGATGAAAACGTTCGGTCCAAGTGCAGACGTTCTACAGGTACACTCCTTGCGATCTACCGTCCGTTTCGGTCCATAACGTTTCTCCGTGTATGGTTAAGAGTGCAGATGAACTCATGAATGGATGTGGTCGGAGATATTAGACGTTGAGTGTTATTAAAACGGTCATTCTTCATCTAAAGATTTGTCCTGCATACTCATGGTTTTATTTTATCTGCAACAGCACATTCGAGTGAAGTCTTTGTATCAGCGGTTCAAGCGTGAATTGCAGCTGAAGACAAGCACCACTATTTTCTTAAGCAATACCGGGGACTTCTCCTCATGGGATTTGAGGGGTCCTGAGAACAGTTTCACGGAGTTGAGATCAACAGGAGACCAGCAAATTTTCAAAAGTTTAGTGTGCGCCGGAGGAAAGTATAGCAAGCCTGTGGTCGAGGGCTTGCATCTTGGGTGGCAAGGAACCATCAACCCTCTTTCAAGTGGAAAACATACCCCTCTAGTTGAACATCTTGGAAAACACGGTTCAACAAATCTTGAAGAGGAGGCCGAGATCAGAGCGGCAAATGATTCAAAAGAAGTTTCTAAACCAGATGTCTTGCATCAGAGAAAGATTCCTACTTGTAAAGATTACGACACAGATGAACCTCCCAGGAGGAAGGCAGAAACCAAAGGTGAAAAAGTTGTGGGCTGTTACAGTCTGAGCCTTGGGTTTTGTGCCGATTTGAAAGAACGTTGGGTGGATGGGAAAAAAAGAAATCGAGATTCTCCCCGAGTAATATGGAGGGATTCCATTCCACGTGATCAAGGAGGATCTTGCAGACAGGACGAATTTCAATGGGATAATTCGAAATGGAAGTTGAAAGGTAGTGCGGACAGCTTGGGAAACTGCTCCGTAGTGAAACTACTGCTTAAGGACGGTGAAGTTGAAGGAGAAGAATGTGAAGATGGGGCACACCGGTTACGAGTGTCGATGTCAGCCGGGTCATGGAGTCCTCAGGCCTCTCGCGAGGCCGGAATCACCACCGGAGGAATCGCAGTTCGTTCGTTGCTTCCCGTTAGGTACTTGGAAGATCATTACCCATCTATATGAAAGAACTAGTTTGTCTTCAGTAGGTTTTGAACGATCAGGATCTCTCCGTGATGTGTTCTCTCTTTTGTCTCCCCTGTTTATTCTTATGGCAAGATTAATAGCTTCGCTATCTCTGTGTGAACTGATGCAGGGCTGTGAGGGAAGTAATGATGCGGTATATGGTAAGGTTCCCTAGCTCTTTTCAGTGGGTTAAAGGCGGAGCTCTTCCAGGACTCTGGGTCCATGATCTAATACAGACTACTTTTGGATGGCGTCGAGCTGGGAAAGGTCAGTTCTCGCCAGTCTTAATCGGACCCGGACTCCCAGAGAAAACACCTCCGAAGAATCTTCCAAATATGTCAAGGCCATTCTACTTTGTGGCTGGTAGATGGCATGCCATCCAAATAGCAGTCTCTGTCACCGATCACGGGCTTGATTCTGATTTAGAAGAAGAATCCGATTTTGAGGATGCAGACGACGGGAAGGACGCTGACAGCAACCTGGATGAAGAAGACACCACTAAAAGAGTTCCTTTTCCATACACTCTTGATTTTGAAAGTGTCAAACGTGGTGCAGTTCTTGAGATAGAGGCGTCTGTTGATTTCGAGCCTGTGTCCAAAGTCACATACGCACCTTACGTAAGGAGGTTACCGATCGAGAGCAGTTTCTGTCGTGAACGTGGAGCTCCTATGGGTCTAATTATGTCTTGCTACTTCGGTGGAAAAACTCAAGACTGGGCAACACCAGTTGACACTCACATTGATTTCCGCCAGGTAACATTTTCTGTGCATGCCCTTGCATGTAGTTCACTGTCCAGTTGTCGCCAGATGTTTGTGGTGGAGGTGATTGAAAGTGCCCACCTGAATAAGTACATGATATAGTCAGGGATTAAGTTCGTGTGAGTATTCTGAAATTGGTGTTTATTATGTCACGTCCCGTTTCTCATGGCTGGAAGAATCTCATTATATGTGCTGATTGCAGTTTCAAGTTTGGACTGATTAATGGTGAGATCCAAGGGAAGGAGCAAAAAAGTGATGGACGACACACTACTTCTAAAGATGCAACAGGTTAAACATACCTTCGACTATTCTGTTTATTCTGCGTTCATTTTGTGGCAAATGATGATTCTACAGTTGAAGTGAATCGTGGTCAGTGTTCTTGGAAGTCAAAGCACCTGGGAATTTATTCGCCTTGTACCGTGTGCAGTTGCAAGTTTTGTTTCAGTGCTGGTTGACAAAAGACTATGGAGCAAGGCACAGGTAACGTCTAAGTCGCAGCATGTCAGTCAATTCTTCGACTAGCTGGGGTCTCGACCCTCAGATTTCTTCAACCTGTCCATTGGGGAAAATGGCACCGATCAGTTGGCGTTGATTGATCGTTTTTGTGAGAAATGTCTCGGCGGATTCTTAACCAAACCCCGGGGCTACAAGGGTTCAGTCTGATTCCTGACCAGTTCCATACATTCCCCTCATAAATTTTTCTACATACATACCACTAGGGTATAAGAGGCAAATTAGTGAGTATACATATCCAGAATATTCATAGGCTTCCAACGGAAAGAGGTGTACTCACAAGGCTATCTTGAGGTTCCGTTCCGACAGTTCTGTACCATGTTACAATGGTAGTAGGAAAATTTACATATACATGGTGACTGATAGTTGCACCTTTTACTTTCATTTTGAAGCAATAACTTAGTCACCTAACCTAACTTCATATTTAGCTTAAGAAGTGGGTTGGACTTGGTCAGATCCTCCCACTTGGGTATGATAGTTCTTCTCTTGAACAACTGTGTAGTTGCCCAAATTTCTTTAAACCTATAGTAGTTGAACTTTATTGAAAACAAGCAGTTCCGGAGAAATTCGGTCAGGGTGAGGTTATAGCAGTGTCTGCCTGTGTACCGAGGCGCTCCTGTTCGAGCTTGCCTGAAATAACTGATTCCTGTAAAGAAGGAGCTTTGCTTTATCTTGAGAGCAAGCCTAGAGAGCATTTTGATCATTTACCGATGTCCATGCAAGCATGGTTTCAGCTCAATCGAGCTGAGTGTTAGTCACAACCATAAACAAGGTTGACATTTGCACTTCACACCCATTAGTATCTCACTGTCCTACAGCTTCACCTACGTCGATGCGGTAATGTCTTCATCGTGTGTCGAAATGTTTTGGATACGAAGTGCACATGTACTTGGTTATTTGCTTTCGCTAGCTGCCAAGATGTTCCGTCCATAATTCTCAATCGCTAGCAAACAACATTTTCTTCCGGATTTACTTGGCTACACATCAGCTGCCATTCCTGATTTTTATTGTCCGCGGCAACACTTGTTAAGTATGAACTTGGATGAGGAAATAAAGCGTGTATAACTAGGTATTACATTGGAATATAAAATTAAATTTTGTGTATGTATACTTTTGTGTTTTCCAGAGTATATAACGACAAGCAACATATATACTCGAAATATCTTCATGTAACAAACAAATATATTTATTGAAGATCTAATTTTTGTAAAAAAGAATATTGATGTATAGAAGAAGATAATTAGTTTAACGAATTACCATCGAACAAACTAAACTTAACCAGGATCTATATTAACGTTAAATAATTTCTCCCTTGATTTATGTATTGGAATCTTCAAACTCTATTAACGTTACTATTAATATGCAGAAGCTTTCCTGAAACATGTTATTTTTTAAACTAGAACTAAATGGTTATAAAAAATATCGAGCAAAATTATACATAGAGATGAAAAAAACGCTGTATAATCTATTTTTTTTATCAATATGCCACATCTGCAATGTGACACAATGTTATATAACATACTTTCAAATAATACTTTGGTAAAATTATTAGCAAGATTTAACTCTTGATTCTATCTTGATTAGTTTAGTTTAGTAAAGTTGAGAGTAAACAAATCTACTTGATAACATCATAAATTTTATGATTAATACTTAATTACAACATTAAGATATTGATTGCTTTTATATCTATATATTTGACACTATTTAAAATTTTCTTACTCTTATTATTATGATAAAAAATTTACATACTCATCTTTCAACATAGAATGTTAATCATAACTAATAAAATTAGATTTTATAATCAAAAATATTTTGAAATTAATGTAAAGAAAAAAGAGGTTTCATAAAATGTAACAACAAATCTTTGATCCATAAAATTGATCAAAACTTATTCAGATAAGCAAAACTTAATAAAAAAGTTACGTAGATTGTATTGATGGAATCCAACTTCATTAGAATATTGTAATAAAGTCTTATTAGGAAAAGCTCATATTACAAACAGTTTTTCTTTTTCATTTTCATACTTGTTAAAATTCTATTTTTATAAAGAGTTAATACAAATCGGTATATGATTATTAAAAAAAATATTCTGGGAATAAAAATATGAATCTATCACATTCAAATGAAAATTTGATTACTAATTTCAAAAACTAAATATTTTCATTGGCACAATATATTAACAATGTCTTAATTATGTGTTTTGGATTTTGATAATCTTCGAGTTATATAGTTATGAATGAACCATAATATTCAATTACGAGTGTGCTTAGTATTCAGAAATTTACACATAATATGCTGTTGTATAAAGATGTTGGGTCTGACTAAAGTATACATTTGGGATTCATTCCTTAATTTTGATTATAATTAAAGTGTAGTCGAACTTGAATTGCAAAGTAGGTTTGCATATAGATAGTTTACTTCAAAAGACACTTACGATGTGCTGGAGTCATAGTTATGTGATTATTTATATCGATGTTTCATAGAATTTTCTAACTTTCCAATTATATTCGTAAGACATTTATTTAGAAAATTGACAGTCGATACCCGCTGTATGTAGGACATCAGAATAATGGATTTGCACCAGCAGATCCATCAAAATTTACCTTGCAAGAAAAGTCGTAAATTTCACCTCTCTGTACAAATTTTAGCCCGTTATGAAGCCACTCTGGATATTCAGAGTACGAGCGTGAACTAGACTCAAAAGCACACCAAATGTAAAAATAAATAAACAAGACTGAATATGGACGACATGTACTGTAAGGATTTAAGGAAGGTTTGAGCTTTGACGTGTATTGATGTATCATGATAAAATTGAGGGCAATTTTTCCCAGATGGTTTGGTGTATTCACTTTGTGCTGAATGATAGTTACTCCATAAATATACATACTGTACATCAAGGCGTCGGTTCTGCATATTAGAAGAACTGCATCTCAACCTTTAGGAGGTTCAAGTTTTCTCTTGCATATCAAATGGCAGCTTGGAACTTCTGCTGGGGAGTGCATAATCATACCCGCCACCTTCCTCGCGCAGATGCAAGAATCTGAGGTTTCTATAAAACCCTGAATGTCGGTTTCAACGATCCAAAGGTAGAAACACTTTGCTGCCTGATTTCTTCCAGCAGTGGCCACACCAGCATGATGGTGTGGCCACCGCTTCAGATGACATCCAATTGAAGGAGAAGGTCCAGTTGGACATGTTGTACAGTAGTCTCCCGTCTAAGTTTGCACCTTGGACATGGAAGGATTGTATGTACCTATCCGGTAAGTGAGTACTTAGGCGAATCATTTTCTAATAGAAATGGAATACTTTTACGAACATTTCATTTCAAACTGAACCATATATTACCATTCATATTTTAACGAATCATTTTCTAATAGATATGGGAGAATTTGTCCAAATTATTGCAATGTATTCGATAGGAAAACCAGTTGATTTTTCGAACATTTCATATTGAAGCATTTATACTATACGTTCGGGTCAATAGTAATTTATGAAAAATAAAAGACTACTCATCCAGGTTCTCCTGAATAGGAAAAACCTATCAACAATAATTAGTAAAATTTGGAGAGGATAATATATAACTTTTAGATTTTAATCTAAAAGTTATATATGAACAACCATTATACAGAAATTACTTAATAAGGTCTTCAGATTCATAATGACGCATCTTTTATTTAGAAGAATTTTTTTACAACCTTTTTAGTCGATTGCAATGTCAAAGAAACCAAAACGAAATTACTACATGAATCTGAACGATGTGAAGTAATAGAGTAGTTGAGCTTCCAGTAAAAGAGCTCTAGCTTATGTTAGTGAAACGGCTATTAAAAATGTGTGAAACAAGTGGAACAAATCTTAATAAGATTTGATCAATATTAAAACAATTCCTTTTAAGATTTGGCTTAATATTTTATGAACCCAAAAAGAAATTTTTTGAATATTTTTTTTGTTTCTTTGATCTTGAATGTTGAATATTTCCCTATTCCTCAATCGCCACCGCAAAAAATATTGCATTAAAATTATCAATTTCGGTAAGAGACTTTAAGTCGTCTTGGCAATGGCCAAGTGAATTACAAGGCGACGAGGGTACTTCTCGGTGAGTGACCTGAAGTGAACAAAATCGACTGTGGATTGTTGAAAGTTTTAGACAACCTGTACGGTGTATATAGCCTAATATGATCTGAAAAAGTACACAATATGGTCCATAATGGCTAGTTTTTTTTTTACTACTATCGACATGCAGCCTCCTAATGCCAGATAAGTACACATCAACAAAAGTTGGTTTCCAAACGCAAAAATTTCACAACTTACGAAAGATGACAATCTATGATGTTTTGAACTAAATAAATCTTCAACCCTATTTTTTGGTGAAAATTATGCGTACTTAACCAGGAGACTACTGTAGTGACACAAGTCAGCTATTACACTTCTGAAGCCTCTAGCTTTTTCGGCTACTCATTCTCATGCCTAAACTATTCCCGCAACGATCACCAAACTCTCCTAATCGTGCTATGTACACAAGCATTCAATCAACTTGCGAAAGTGCGCAGATGAAAGCATTCGTAGAAGCACGAACTCGCTGATCTCTCCTCTCATGCTTCAAGCTTTGTCCTCACGAGGCCTTTGAGAAAGTCAAAACTGTTGCCATCGGGATGAAGTTCGTACTGCTCTCCTCGTTCATCTATGGCGTACAGATAACCTCTGGAGCTCAATCCTCGTATCGTTAAGGGAACATGTGACATTTCCGAGCTCTCGGGGTCCTTCTCTTCCAGAACAACAGTCTGACCAGTGTGCAGCCATTTGTCATAGTATGAGTCTCGCAGTGGGGTGAATCCATGGGAGGTGAACTTGGAGTTCAGCTCCTCGAACCTCATCATGATCGCTGCCAGAAGCTGCTCCTTGCTGAGTGCACTCGCGTGAGGATCCACCTCTTGAATGAGTGCATCGAGGCACGTGGTTGGGACTCGATTGCCCACGTTGAGCCCGACACCTACGACGATGTTGAAGGTTTTGGCACTGTAAGTGGACGTGCACAAAACGCCTCCTACCTTCAAACCCTTAGCGTACAAGTCATTAGGCCATTTTATTCGCACTTCGGGTGCTGCAATTCCCTTGGCTTTGCAGATTTCTTCGAATGCTTCGACGACAGCCAGAGACACCACGTACTGAAGGAAAGGGACCAAACGTCCGTTGGTCATTTTGATGGTGAATGAGAACATCAGGCAGCCCTTGGGAGACTCCCATACATTTCCTGCCCGACCTTTTCCCTGCAACTGAGCCCCAGCTATACAAATCGAGCCTTCCGGGAATTCCTTGAAATTCTGGGAAAGCAGAGTGTGCGTGGACGGGATCAGGGGCGAGTAAAGAGCGAACGCTCCGAACTGTGAAGTTCGCAGATTCTTGAGATAGTCGATGACATCGAATAACTCTGTCACCGTCGAATCCACATCCGATGCGTCAGGAGTTGCCAACAATTGAGCTCCTTCAGGCAACTTCAGCTCCGTCGCGATTAACATTCCAGGAATCAGTTCCGCCTGACGGGGATTCTTTGCTGCAAGATATATACGGCAATGTGCTGCCTCGGTAGCCATAGCTCCTACAGAGAACGAGCCCTTCGTCCCTCCTTCGCCCTCCACAGACAGTCGAGCAGCTGCTGCTGCTATTGCTGTTCCACTCTCCCTTCCTCTGGCCTCTCCCAAGTTGCTACTTTGTAGGACCTGTTCCGCTCCTTGCAATCCCGCTATCGCTTGATGATCTCCTGATTCTGCAGCTCCCCGAGGATCGACCTCCGCTCTGGTTCCCGAACTGTGATCAGCCAGGACACAAACCAGTCCCTTGAGTTCCTCCTCGCCCTTGTCTCGTTTCACGGAATCCAAACGGTGGAAGGTCTGCGAATTTAGTCTCCTAGCCCTACGCAACGCAACAATGAACATTCACGAGGTTAAATGCAGCACGGCTGCCGAGCTGCCACACCGAGCTGCACCCAATCACTGCAAAGAGTCATGCGCTTAGGAGATCGAGAGCACGCACCTGAATGTGCGATCGCACAGCCGAACGGTGGCGGCGGGGCGAAGATTCCTGCCGCTCGAGACTGTGATGCCAACAATCGAGCGCACTGTCGGGAAGGCCTTGCTAAACATTCGCAGGCAAGCAAGAGTCAAGCGCTCTCACAAGATCTGTTATGGAAAAAGTGGTCCGGTATCAGAGCCTACAGGTTCAATCAAGCGAGAAGCCCCACTTTCTCGACGATGCACGATCCAGTCGAGCAATTCTACTCATAAATCTATCAAAGCTACCCTCCCTCCTTCTGCAAATTCAAGCACACATAACATTGTCTTCTCGTCTCGTTGTCAAATTCACATTCAAGAAGTACGATCTCCAATAAATAGCTCACTTTCGTCTCTCTCGTCGTGCAGAGGTGCAAGATGTGAATGGACCGATTTTGTCCAAAATTTCTCAAAGTGGTCGGCCTGCTGCGATTGAGAAATCAGCGGAAGAGCGTGTGTAAAGTTCTCTGTGTAGCCGGGCTCGATGTTGTCTGATGGCTTGTGTTGAGTGAGTGGCTCGGTGTGCGTGTCATGCGCGGGTTTTGAAACTTCATTGTAATCTCGACCTATGAATCACAGGGCTCTCGGCGGGCCCACTTTCACTCGCTCTGCAGTTGGGGAGAAAGAAGACCATGACAGGAATTTCGTATTAGTCCACACTTGTAGTGGAGACCGAAGACTGAATTGCTAAGAGAGCATGAAGGAACATGAAAAACTGCACTCTTGGAAAATATCAATTCATAGTTACATAGATTTTGAAGGAAAGTGGGCAAAATGGAAGAAAAAAACGATAGAAAGAGGCTTGTGCAGACAAGAAAACAAACAGGCAATTGAGTTAAGACCCGGTATTTCTGTGAGGAGATGTATGTAAGATGTAATATTAGAGCTTACTGACAACATTAGTATCCCGTGTCGCATTATCTAACGTGATAGTTCTCTTGTAAATCGCCCTGGCCCATGCTCTCAATAGAGCAATTTAAACACGTTACAATCTATCGCTTAGTGTGAGAAGGTCTAGTGCACTCTCTCACAAAAAGTTCATAATCCGCATCGTGAACTCCATATAATTCCAATGCTAAGAGAAGAAAGCGGTGATTATATATCTCATTTAAATAACAGACCTTGGCAGCTGCCTCCACACTCGCCACCCATCTAAAACTCCCCTTGAAATATATGTTTGGTATAGAATCAATAACCACCAAATCTGCAACCGTCGTTCATTAATTTAGCATCAAAAATTAAATCTTTAGTAACTTTTGTAAACTACAACGCATACCAACCCTACTCTCATGTGAATCCTATTACATGTAAGTGTAATCCCTCATAAGCAATAAAAAAAATGGATGAGTGGATGAAGCCTGGGCAAGATCTCATTGATGTGGAAAAAGTAACTGGTGCGAGTGAAAAAGCTCTAATGTAGCCCGAGATCCAAGATCAAAGAGCATGTAGTCTTGTCCGGGCAAGAACGTAAACAAGCCTTTGTAGTGCAAAAACCTGCCGATTTCACTAATTTTGAACCTATGGTCTATTGAAACTACTGATCCATCAAAGTATATGGTTAATCTCTAGTTCAAAATATGTAGAGAATCAAAACTATGAAAGCTCAATCGCTAACCGAGGGACTAAAGTATCTTGCGTATACTAAGAGTAAGAGTACTCGTAATGAAGACATACTTTACATACGTACTGAGGATATCTCTATCTGCAACTTTGCAATTGCACAGAGATTAGATAAACAAGAGTGTCAAGTTATGTTTATATAAATAAGAATGTTAAAGATGCAGTCTCCTTCCTGAATACTTTCTTCACAAAAAATGGTAACTATATGTCTCCTAGCCAAAATTCCCGTCACATGTTCAAATGTCCTTCGTCCGATAATAATACAAGATTATTCTCATGATCCACCAATCAAAGTCTTCAAGTGTGATAAAAAAGTAATTGAAAAAAAAATAGAACAGTGCAAAGAAGATAGATGGATCGACAAGCAAAACTGGAAGAGAATATACCAAACACTACTTGTGGTTTATTTGTTAGCAAAAAACAATCATTTATGCGCAATACGTTCACAACCAGTGTAAAACTACATACCGTGAGACAAAATCTTGAATCATTCTAAGGTACATGATCTATAAGTGAATGGCATGCATCCATGTGGTAGCTCCAAATGAAGAGGACTGTCTTAAAGATATCAAACAATACATTTGTACACGTTTACTTTCAAGTCTATAGGATGAAGCTTGGTAGTCAAATACTGAAAGACTTGTCTATTGAGTGCTAGCAAATTATATTATGTGTGCATCATCCGCTAAAGAGAAAAACACAAAACTCGACATGTCTAAAGCTGTATAGATGAAAAATCTATAACAAGAAGAATACCAAAGGATCTTTTTCTCAAGTACTGGCAACAAACTCGATACATGACTTCCATATGTGAAAATCCATGTTGATAAAAGAGAAGAAGAATCTGAACCATAAAAATGTTACAGAAATATGATTTCCAATAAATTTTTATGAGACTTCCTACGGTCTCCCAAAATGTTTGCAAATTAAAAAATATAAACAAATGTTCTCAACATCCATTTGCAAGACCATTCAATCCATATGGATAACTTAAAGAACTCGAATCTTGAACGATTTTGACTTAGAGCTTCCTAGTGTGGCAAAATAGATCATGTGGACAAAATGTAGCTTGAAGAGTGAACAATGCTTGACAACCAAGGTTGGACTCACAAGTTGCAAGATGTATCCCAGTGACCCTAACCTAATGCCCCGATTATCATTCTCCATCGAGAGATGCAGATCGACATCCAGCACATGACTAAGTAATTATGGAATCTCATCTTTCCCAATTGATCTAGCCACATGGAGTAACTTTGTAAAAACATCTGATATTTAATATCACATTATCAAAAGAATTCAACCTATGATATGCTGAGGATGAGGGTAAGAAATGTAAGATGAATCAAATAAGATGTAACGTAATTGCTAAGAGTAGTGAAAATTCTTTGCTGCATATTTTTTTAGGAGATGCAAACGTTGATAACGGAGATTAGAGAGTATGGGAACAAGCCGTGCAATTGGATTGAGTCTAAAACCGTGCAATTTGACTTTGTAACCATATCTTCTGACGAATTACTTACCGTCTCAAGCCATTCACTCATCTTCCTTTCAAAGGTTTGAAGCATATTTTAGCCCAGAGATACATACTCTTAAAATCTATTCATCCCCCTACACTCCTTGTCACACACTAAGGATGAGCAATAAGCGGAGAGGTGCCCAGATTCAGATTCAGACACTGATACGATCATTCTCGAACAACTGTCAATAAGTTCCCAATCTTGTCCCACAACAAGTTACTATCAGAGATGTGCCCAGCTTGAGACCCAAATACATGACCGAACCATCGATAAACAACCCTGCTACCAACAAAGTTGAAACACTCAGACAGAAGTCACGTAGGCACACCGGAGATTAGACGGAAGGAGAGTTACACAGGCGCGTTCACTAAGTTGCGAGATAGATGAGTTGATGTGTTGTGGATGACATTGTACTTACTATCATTCGGAAGTTTATTCTCACCTTAGAAAGTATAGGTTCGTGGTGCACTCTGAATTTAGTAAATTTTCCTCGTGTGAGATTATGAGATGCATGTTTCTAGTCTGTACTTTTCCCATTTCCAGTTCCGATTAGATTCATAGTATCCACTCCTGTTTTACATCCCTGATTTAAGAACTGATCTTTACAATCAACAATGAACCATCTTCGTCCATTATCACACACTCGTCGAAGATGATTCTACATGGAAGACGAAAGCCAGATGAATTGAGATTTATTGACATGTATCTCGACGGACAGATATACACAACCCGACATAAAGACGAAGCATAACATGAACCCGCGAGCGACGTCGGGATGAGAATGTACATGCCAGGATGTAAACGTGCTCAGTGTACAGGCAAAAATATGGCCAAGCGAGCTGCTTGACAAATATGCTTTATTGTGTATCCAAGTACAACTCTCGTTGTCACTCTAAATGAATGTCTGCCGTGGAAGGAAGGATGTACAAAAGATTAAACGAGACAAGAGTATAAGCTCAAGCGGGGACCTGATTTCATCACTCATAGACTGATGTATTCAGGTCCCCTTCTTCCTAATTCCAACTAAAAATGAGAAAGGTCAAAATAAAACGGTGTTGCTACAATACGATACAAGTGGGGTTGAATCATCACCCCGGCCTTGCAACTGCCGCCATTTTTGTCGTTGTACCGGAACCTGTGAATACTACTTGTATACTCAGTCCAAGGGAAGGCGAGATAACGCTGGAAATGGATGGACTTGATCTATCTTTGTTTCTTTGTTTCTTCTATGTTCTTTCTCATCGTGATGAAAGACGCGGGTAGAAATACGATATCCAGGAGCTTTAATCACGACGTTGAGCACTAGCCTAACCCACCCCTTCAAACAACGTTCAAATGTCAAACAAATCTTTCTTTCTCACTCTTTCTATAGAGAATGGTGAAAACAACACAAACGTCACCACCATATTCGTCCGAACTTGCGAGTGCAGTGATGCATCCATTTCATCCGTGGTCACTTCATCCGATGCTCTTTATGGTACAGGGGGCTTTGAAAACCCTCTCCGATATCAAAATTTATCTCAGTAGAGGGTGCTGTTCATGAAGATATCCAGGCATAAAATCATGACGAGTGAGCAGTCCGACGATGGGCGATCTCTGATTCACAAGTCAAGACAGTACAAGGTCAGCGCAAAGTATCCACCTGCTCTTCTCACAGCAGTAAGGTGGAAATTCTTATAAAGAAATTTCGACACCTGGTTTCCCTTGAACTTGGAATGAGACTCGCTTACCGGGCAATGCTTTTGTCTACATGAAAAAGTCGATACAGTTTGCTCCCTTACTCTAAACAAACTTTGCAAAAGACCTAGTTGGGATCCAAAGTAAAATCCATATACGATTGCATGCCTTCGGCGCAGCACAAAGCTAGTGTTGTTCCTTCGGAACGAAAGATGCGTGAAGCCAGCTAGTCGGACGTGGTGGAAGAGAGCAAACCTCAGTCCGTGACTTCTTGGGTATAACGCACAGGTGTCGTAGTCCAAGCTGTCTAAACAATGTGAATGCCTTCGCAAGGGACATTGTCTCAACGACAGTGTACGGAGAAGTGTTCGCAACGAAGCGGAGATCAAGGTACTTCTCCCGTTCTTCTGGAGTCACATGCAGATATTCGATTCTCATGCCTTTCCCAGATCCGGGTTTGGCAAAATCCGAGGAGGTGAGAGCAGGTTTCTTTTCAATGTAGGAATCATCGCTATGATCCAAAAATGCTCTCTTCTCCAGCAGCACCATGATGTGATATCGTAACACCAAACCACACAAGACGGCTCCGTTCTCCTCGAGTACAGGAAAGGCGTTGTGTCTGGTGGTAGTCAAAACATCGACAACAGTTCCCACTCTTTCGACAGCATTGAACTGCAAAAGGAGCGTCTGATCGTTCAGCCAAAACCCCATGAAAGCCAAGCAAAGAGCATGTTCCTTCGGTGACAATAGTGACAATTATGACAACTTCTGCCAACAAGCTTCCAATCTAGTGGTACCCTGGACTTATAACGAGTTACGGTGTGTAAACACAGAAGCTCATATAATCTTCATGAAAATCTTGACAAGATAACTTACCGTAACAGGTGTATACTTTATCGCCTCTCTCGCAGTCAAGTGCCGCATGAATGGTTCAGGGTGGGCATCTAAGAAAGGAAAGCCCTTCAGTTGGACATGAATATCAAAAACTGCATCATTGAATGAATCCCCCACAGTCTTTGACACCAGGAGTACGAGCATGATGAGAGGAAGCATTCTCAGATTGTTTGTCAGCTCCAAGAGAATGATACACAACGAGACGGTCATCCTCATAGATCCTCCTAAGAATGAAGCTGCCCCCAACAGCGCGTACACCCCTTCGTCTAATCTATCATCTCCTGCAATAGGAGTCATCAACATCCCCACGAGTCGACCGTATGTTGCTCCACAGAGAATGGAGGGGACGAATAGCCCCGAAGGAACCGCAATACCGTATGTGATCACTGCAAGGAAATATGAGGCACCGAGATAGATTAAAAGCGAAGACTTGCGAAACTCCCCAGGGGTTCCAGTGCTGAAAAGATTTCTGGTTGCATCGTCGTTAGTGTTGAAGAACAAATTCGCTAAGTCGTTGTAGGTCCCGTCTGGGCAGTGGAATCCCTTGAAGTTGGCTGCTCGCCCATGTGTCGGACACTCTGCTCCAATTGGGTACTGGCCTATTTTGTGCTCTGGGCAAGGTCTGCACTCTGCGAACCATGGCAAACCGAAACTGATTGAGGCAGTCAACAAGGCTATGAGGCACGCTTGCCAAACCTTCGCCGATCGCCATCTCCTGCACAATTGGTAATGAGATCATTAGATATTATCACAACTGTTGCATAGCAACGCGTTAGCATAACCACTCAGATGGGTTTTATATACAAGTATTCTTTAGAAGTACAGCACGTAAACCCACTCATTCACATCTACCTGCTACAGCTGGTGATGGACCATGTTGGGTATGAATACAATTCGTATATTAAGCAACGGAAAGCGCAACCGGAAACCTGTCATGGAGCCTTTACACCTCGGAAATAAGACTAAAGAGGTATAAAACTCTCTTGCGTACATATAACTCTTAGGGCAGAAATCGCAGTGTTAGGGGCCAAAACTTAGAGCCAAATTTCAACTATCGGGGGTTAGATGCTGAGGCCAAATCTTTGGGATATACTGGTTGAAAGCAAAGTGATCTGGTAAGAGACTGAAGACATACTTGTTGAGAAAGGCTCCGAAGAAGAGGACGATTTTCGAGTTCAGATGATTGAAGGCACTTCCCAAGACACCTCCAATTATGCCCAAAACCACGACCGGGAATAGCTCTAAAAGCCCGTACTCACTCTTCACTCCCTCCACATCAAAGATAATTAAACCTCCCTCTCCAAAAAGTCCACAACTTCCACCTTTGCACCAGGCCATTCCTGTCCTCAATACCACTGCTACAACTGCTGTCGTGAAAAAGGCCCTCCACAACAATGGTCCCCTCCACCTGCATCATCATTTCTCATCACGACTCAATTCCTTACGGGGAGAAAAGCCCATGAAAAGAAACTTTGCACATTGACGTGTTGGAGACCTAATTATCTGATACAAAAGGACTGGCAAAGTTTACTTCGATTACTTTTGAATTATAGCACCGTAAGGAAATCAATTTGGGCTAAGGATTTGGATGAAGTATGCGAGTGAAAATCATTCTCACATATGTCTATCATTTATGGCAACGATTCTTTTCTGCGGGAAAAATTATCCAGCACCGTTCGAATAGCCACACATCAACGTAAAAAAGGTGATATACCATGATGTAACCTCCTCAAGAGCAAACAAAACTCCTCCAACTGGAGCTCTGAAAGCTGCCGCAACTCCTGCTGCACTACCACATGTGACCAAATCCCTTCGATCCCTGTCGTTCTTGAAGTATCGCAGCCACCTCCATGTCAGGTGGTACTTCCTGGATCCACCCTGACCGATAAGCGAAGCAATACACGAACCGATATGCACCAACGGTCCCTCCTTTCCGACGATCAGGCCTCCAGATACGGTACAAATACAACCAAAAACCTACAACAACGATGCATATTTTATTATTCCTCCCTTCGTCTGTCACAACCACCTCCAAATCCAAACCAAACGAAATCGAACACGACGGTCAGAGCACAAACCAAAATATAATTACCTTGACAAACAGGGTCTTCAGTGAAAAGATGTTGGGTGTATCCACCCCGTTGAGATAAGCTTTGACTTCAGGAATTCCCGAGCCCGCGGCGGCAGGTGAAATGTAAACACAAAGAAGAGATGACACCAGTATCAAACCGACGTTACTTCCAGCGTACAGTAAAAATGCTGGCATGAACCTGGATCCACGACAGAGCGTTAGGGGTCAGAATGTGAGTGACCGAGTTTTTGGCACCACGAATCCGAATGAGCGGACAACAATCCGACCGACAGAATCGAATGCAAAATGTAGTCCGCAGCATCGTAGACCATGTGCAATTGAAACCGTGGCAATCCAGAATAAGTACCGATACCCACCCGCTGGCTGACATTGACTTCGTAGTGGCGAGAAACTTGGCTCCAGCTATATTCTCCACAGCCATATTGATTCCAAAACCCACTAATCCAGTTAGCAGACCCAGCAAGAAGACGAATGTCCATTTTAGAAACACATATTCGAGAATCTCGTGCTTCGTTCTCGACCGCCAATCCTGCCGAAACAATTCGTTCTCTATCAACCTGCGCATCCGAGCACATCATCCAGACATCAGTGCACGTTCCACAAAAACCTGCTCTTGCCGTCGCTCCGATCAACGCAATCTCCATCTTTCACGTCAATCGCGCCACAAAGCCGCGCCTCCTGCTTTCGGTTGGTCCTGCTCTTCTCTACTGCGAACCGAAAAATACAGCACGATCGGCGCGGCTCGCGGCTCGATGTACATGGAAACCGTGCCGACGCCTATAGCTCTACACGACGCTACTACTGTCCGTTACACATTCCTTGACCATCCGAGGACCCATCTGTCTCGAAGATGGAGGTGCTGCCAATTCAGTGAGATTGGCTCACAAATGCGCAATCTGACAATCTAGTCAGCAAATCTGGACGATGACACGAGGAATTCCTCCAGAATATTTTACTGAGATTCTAGGCAGTGGTTGTGTCCGAAAGTAACAGCTCCTTTGAGCTTTACTGAACGATCGAAGGTTCATGAAGTCGGACAAAAGTGCAGCGCGCACGAAAGGCGGAGCGGATCGTTCGCATTGTGAAGCGTGTCGGGGACTGCAACCGCACCGGATCGGGCCCATCAAGCTCCGAAGGATGCGCACGCAGGAAAGCGAGTGCAAGACGGTGTTCAAGAACGGGCTGCGGGCTGCGGGGAACGGACAACGGACAACGTTGGGCACAGAGGGCACACTTCCCAGGACCATGCGGCCGACCAAGACCTCGTAACGCCCGTACGATAAACCCCCTTAGTCTATCAGGAGACGCGCATCTACATTGTACGAAGTCCGAGGCATTCAGAGCATTTAATGAAGTGAAATGAAATCGAATAAATGAACCGGGTGGGGGTAGATCATCACGTCATCACTACAGCAGAAGTCTGGGCATTTCTGCTGATAAAGGTACACGCGTCCCATCATCTCCCAGGATCAAAGACGAAGAGAGCATCAAATTTCGTGAGAATATGGAAAGATGAACGTACTCATAGTCGAGACTTTCGATTGGTGACACATTTGCTCCGATCATAGCTTGGTGCTGCTCGACGCTGTAATTGGCATCTGGGAGCAGAGTCTTCTTTCTCTGAAGCAGAGGCGTGTGGAGGCCATTCTTATCGCGCGGATTGGGTACGGCCTCCACATCCCGAGGACTGATCAATCCAGGGCTCATCGCGGTGTCCGCATCCGACTCGGTCCCATACTGATGATGCTGCTCCATTGCGCCGGACTGCCTGCCTGCCTGCCTGCCTGTTCGACCGTCAGTTCCCCGTCTCTTCCTCCTCCAGCTCCCTCACTTCTTTGTATCCTTCCGTTCTCTTCTAAGTTCCCGCTTACCGCCTACGTGAACAATTCAATCCACGACAAGCCAATTCTGCCTCTTCAGAGATCGATATTCGAGCTAAAGCCTCTCCTTGCTGGTCATCATTGAGCAAAACCGACCGAAACAGCAGAGGCTACAGAGGCTCCACAAAAATTGTGTGGACGACTACAAAATTTCATCGCTGATCGCTTCGACGATTATGAATCGACAGATGGGCGGCTGAATCAATCTACGAGTCCAGAGACGCGCGTGTCTGTTTTCTTCCACAATTGCATCGCCTTCTCTCACGAGGCGATTCATATGCAGATCACAGCAGTAACAAAAATGCTGCCACTCCAAATCAAATCCAACAGATGATTGCAAATCTCGCACGAGAGGGAGAGCTAGATTTGCGAACCAAGAAATAAGAGAAAAACCGAAATCAGATAAGGGATCGACCTCCCGATTGAGGCTCACAGCGCTAGACTGTCACAGGAGGCGAACCACAAGAGGACCACGGGAGATGAACCACTGTTTGCAGAAATCAAGATGTCCACATCCAGCAACAGACGCAATAAAGGCAGCCGCGGAATTCGGAGAACTGATAGAGAGAGAGATAAAAGTGATGATTGAGGCACGAAAATAACGTCTCGGATTCAAAGGATAATCGAGCGTGGAAGCGGACAAATATCGTGGAAGAAAGAACAAGGGACCAGAAGACAAACAAAACACAGAGGAACACACACACGCACACGGGGCCAAAGGCAATCGGGAAGGATAAGCTTGAAGAGCAGTGAGGCAGGACCTACTTAGTTTCCGTTCCTGAAGAGTGTCGAAAGCTCAATGCCCTCTTAAACTTGTGCGAGAAGAGAGATCAGACAGATTGGAGTCGAGCACACCTCTCTTGACGACGAGTCAACGGCTGATGGGTCGTTCTGAGACAATCTGCGGGTCCGGGGTCAGGAGTGGGATTACAGGACGACGACGCTGGCAGCAGCAGCAGCAGCTGATCGAAAGCAGGGCACGCGGAGGAAGAGACAGGCCAGGGAACTCGACTTATGTGCAGCACAAGGCGGCTACTGATGAGGGGCCTGCAGATGGTCCCCCCTTACGCTCTGCACCCGCCTTGCACCGGCATCCCTTCCCTCGCTCCTCGCTCCTCACTACTACGCCTCCGCCACCTTGACCTGCCCCACTTCTCCTGCTGCCCCCACCCCAAGGCCCCCCACGCCCCAACCCCGCAAGCGCCCTCGTTACTCCTCAAAAATCACAAGCCAGCCCCGCAGACGTCTGCTGGCTCCGCATCTGTGGTCTGCTAGCCCCTTGCTACACCTCAGCTCTCGTGCCCACCTCACCCATCTTACTTCTATAGCACGCACTGTTGCCTTGATTCTTCGCTGCTGCTCAATTTCTTCTGTGATCCACCATGGGGCCCCTCTTCTTGTTGCATGCTTCTAAATCATTAACCGATTCATGAGACTTCGTTCACCGAGGCGACAGTTTCTCACACAGCAGTCCCAGGTGGACTTCTCGTACCTATCTCGTCCCTGAGCACGTGGCCCTTGTGCACTGCTGTCCTACGAACTTTAGGACCAAGAGGGTGGGAGTGAAAATTTCCAACGCTTTCCTCCCAACCCGGAGGGCAGACTGTCGAGGAATGAATATTTCCACCGCTTGCCTCCCAAGCAGGAGGGCATACTTCTAGGACCAAGAGTGTGGGAGGGAAAAATTCCACCGCTTTCCTCCCAGACTGGAGGGCAGACTTCGCTCCCCCACCTGACTCACCCAAGCTGACTCGATGTGCTCGTCTCCTGTGAACATCATCCTTCGCGGAAGTGGCCAACGGAAACGTTCACTCGGAGAACGGATCGTACGGCCTATCATAACCGGACAACGATGCAATTCCCGCCAGGACTCGAGGAGAATCGGCAGTCTGTCGTCAACTTTTGCGTATGCACGCCCGGGGCTGCGGTTAGTCCCGATGTACCACTGAACAGAGGCTTACAAACATTTTCATGTACAAATTCGACGTTAGGGCCAGACGCACTTTCGGGCAGTACATTCGGGCTTCTGTGGCTCCTTGCTCTAGGCTCGGCGGCACAAAAGGGTACTTCCGAGCCTACAGCTGTACCGGAGGCAAATAATATCTTAATATGGAAGGAGCTTGGTTGGGCCTCGACAGGCCGTCGCCTCCGAGTTTTTTTTTCTTTAAAGTTTTCCCCTTTGTTCTATGCGCAACGGATCACGAGCATGAGGACAATTTTCGCAGTTGGTAACTGCACGAACGTGAATGGAATGATCTACCACGTAAATGGAAAAAGTTCATACCGAAACGACCCGCCGGCGCGAGAATCGAGAGTCATGGAGAAAGATGTTAAACTGTATCCCGGTCGGTTGACAGAATAGTTCGTCCACGTGGATCCTGGACCGCGTTTTGGATGTGAGACAACGGGAGGGACGCAGATGCGGACGTTAAATTAGATCCGAGGGCGACGGCTTTCCGCGAACAACATTCTTCTGCATTGTGCTCTCCTTCCTCATCTTCTTTCCCTTCTCCTTCCTCGTCTTTCCCTCCTCCCGGAGCCTTTGTCCGAGGTGACGGGAAGTTTTGGCCGGCAGCGACAAGAGTCTTGTTGGAACATACGGAGCATTCATTCTGCTCGGGCAGTGGGATGGACAGCACGCGTCACCAGTGCGGTGGCTTGAACCTGTCGTCCAGTTTGCAGAATCACTGCTTTTCCCCGACCCCGATTGCTTTCGGAAACTGCTTCCCGAGATTCCAAATTTCACCTTCTACAGTCCCGCGAACCCCGTGCCGTACAATGAAATGTGCATAGTGGGGAATGTATTACCGGAATGTAACTCAGATGTGATCCACCAGCCTTCTAATCTCGAGACTGCCATGCCGTATATAGAATTATGCTCGACTTCGACACGCCCTTCCGGCAATTCCTCCCTATTCTATGCTTTCCCAGAATCTTGAGAAGCCGGAAACCTCGTGGGTCCGCCTGGATTCTGCTATGACGTCACATGCGCTTTACCTCCGGCCTTTGAAGGCGAGAAGGAGAAGAAGAAGAAGAAGAAGTGTAGGTGAATCCTAAGGAATCCCTTACTGGATTTGGACGCATCTCCGAGAAGAGATTTCCTTGCCCAGGTTCATTTAGGAGTGTCTCGTACAAATTCTCTCCCGTATCTTGTTGCGAATTTCGCTGTAGTCCCGTCTTTCACATAAGAAGCGGGTTTTCTGACTTACCTTATGTTTGACCAGTTGCATTGCGAACGCTTGCCCGTGTTGCATACTACAGTGTGTCTACGTGGAGTAACTGCCTTCGATTTCTTGCTTAATTTGATTTCGATGGTGAACAAGTCATAGCGAAAAGGAAAGGAAACCCTCAAGCCTCATATGGATGAAACCAAACGGTAAGCATCTAATAACGTGATTGCATAACATCACAATCTAGTGATGCCTCAATTCATCAAACACATCAGTTCACAAAGTTGGAACATTCCTCCAACTGTGTATGAACTTTTAGCTTTTAGACTTAGAGCGGATGAGTTCATGAGAAAATAAGTGGCAACTAGGAGTTGAAGGAATAACAAAAAGTACAGGAATAGGCATCGAGCCCTGCACGGATGAAACCAAACCCGTAAATGGAACTAGACTACAAAAGCATCCAAATGAGAATATTTATCTTACATATTTTGTTTTTATTTGAATTCTCTGCTCAAAGCACTTTACAAGGAAAATAGTATATCAATAAACTTCACCTAAAGTGATTGCTTAAGTGATTCTATTAAACTAGGTTATACAATAAGTTAAAGGAAGTGTTTTCACAAGCCAAGTGATATGATAAACTTTTGCACAGTCTCTCCAGAACCAAGTTCACATGATTTACAAGCAAAAAATCACCTCTTAGTACTCCTAAATGGCTTGCCATTAGAACTTAGAATGCTAATAACCATCATTTACCAAATTTTTTGAAATTTTAGAACCCTAGTTGAATGCAAAACAAACCAAGGCGTTGATGTTTGCACCATTGTCTTGTTATATCACATCTACTAGAATATATGATGATGCAAGACAATTCCAAGTGATGATGCTTTAAGTTAAAAATGAGTATTGTCTTAGTCAAATTTTTACATTACTTATGTTGAATACTATGGCATTTTATATTTTTACAATTTTTTTTAGACAATTTGAGCTAATACTGGTTTTTAACCTAGGTATGATAATCTATTCAAACTTTCAAGTAGAATCTTGAATAACTTAACTTGAAATTTTAACATATCATTCGATTACAGTGATAACACTATACATTATTTTATTTTATTTAAGCTACAAGTTTAATGAAGGAGTGGCATTTTAAGCTGATTATGCAATTTTTTACCCTTAGAATTATTAAAGATAAATTATTGATATGAATTCAAACAATGATTATAGATGAATTTCATGACAAGAAACAAGTTTTTTCTATCTGAAATCGGATTTATATCATTTAAAAATTCAATCTTAAGATTAGAAGATTCAAACATTATCATTTGTTGAATACCATGTTGTTTAGGGTTTAAACTTGAAAATATTTGTATCGAATGTCATGATTTTGTAAAATAAATGAAAAGATATTCTACAAAGTAGCATTTCTAAATATCTAAATATGGATTGTATAAAATTCAATAGCTTTCAACTTTATCTAATGTATATTAATAAATCTGGATTCAAAAGAATAAAAAACTTGTTATGAAAAAATTAATATGTAATGATAATTTCATCATTTCATTTGAAATCAATGTGATTGATGATTTTTCTGGATTGATGTTATATACATAGTGAAGCTAGAGTTGTTCATAAAAGATTCTTAAAATTAGTTTTTGTAAAACCAGATTATGTTCAAAACAAACATTACAAATTTATTAAGAAAATTCTTTCATGTTACGGTTGATATGCTAAACAGACAAATCTTCTTCGATTGAGACCGAATATGGTATTTACCTTAGCTCATGTAACTTCTGTATCTCGCTGTCATGTGAACCATTTGATCCTTTGGATTTATAGTTTTTGTTAAAAAAGGAAAAAAATGTTGATATGTCTCTTTAAGAATGACAAAAAAATTGTAGAGATAAGGCCCTCGTACGGAAGACTGGTACCTGTCTCGGACAACCCCAAAAATATGGGGTGTCACAAACCTGCCAATATATGAGTCGGTTAGAAAGTAAAATATCTCTCTTTTCTCAATTGTGGTTGGAACTATTGTTTGCAACAAGCAGATATTATGCATATGTAGCATCGTGTGATGCATCCATTATTGCCGACGTAATTTCATCAATCGGGTACACAAAATCAATATTCATGTATCTTACTAGACGTTAAATAATAAAATAGTTGCAGATTGTAACGCCACTACGAAGATCAACTTGCAAAGAGACTACAAGAGTAACATACCTTCATAAGATCTGGCTTATGTTCTGCATGGAGCGTTATTTGCGAGATGCGCAATTATTCTAGGGAGAGTGCACACATTCAAACACTAACACTAGATGACATGGATCACATCTATCACCATCTCTTTGCATCGGGTAGAATCTTAACATGTGTTACAAGGATGCATCAGTCGTAGCAGTGGAATGGAAGATAGCCATGATTGGTTATGCTCGTTCAATAACTCCATCTATTATTACCAAATCATGAGAGTTACATGCATTAGAAATCAAAAGAGAGATAGAGGATGTTGCTATTCATCACTAAATGATCCGCTCACTTTGGAGAGGTGCGTGTGTGTGTCTCCGTCTGTACAAGCTTTTGTTCGTGTTTGTCGCCGGGCTTTATTGCATGCAGTGGAGTTCTCTCCTTTACTAGCAGAGAAATGATGGTTTTGTCAAATGCACACTTGCCAAATCTGGCTCACGCAACAAGATGTGGACAACAAGTCGTGAGGAACCAAGCCTCAAACATGCGATCATTAATTTCATGGATGTTGCCATTCCTGATGATTTACATGGATGAGGTTTGCAGAGAAAAACAGAAGACAAGGACGGTCAGATCAAGAAAAGTACTAATGAGGAATATGATCAAGTAGTCAGGCAAAACCGAGTTCTACTCCTACTATAAGAAAAAGGAAGTTCATAGTTACTGATTTAAAGCTGCCATAGTGAAGCTGATTCGTAACATGCCTGTTAGCCTCTTGTTCTCTTCTGCAACCCCTCGTACGTTTTAACACCTCGATCCATTTTGTCCTTCGATGGCTGTTAGTGGCTCAGTTTGTTGGAGAGATTATATCATCTGAGACCAGATGCGATTGTGGCAGGTGAGAGGACTGATGAAGGGAATTTCGCCTTTTGAGAACCGACCGAGTGATGGAGTTGTAGTATCGGGGGACGGGTGGCGCCAGCGCGTAAGGTCCCATGAGCGGCCTTTCCTTTGCAGAAAGGTGCTTTGCCTTAATACAACCCTGGTACTTTAAAGAAAGCCAGAGGTAGAGACACCCAGTGGCCGTGAATACAGTACGAGCATGTTCGGGACATTCACCCTTCGTGCCCGGAGCTGGATCGACGGGAAAGGAGATCGGCAGAGGGACGCAGGAGTTATCCCCCACTAGCGCTGAGAGCGAGTTTGGCGAACTGGAAGCACGTTAGCAGCGGAAGAAGACGAAGGATGAGTGAGCGAGTGTCCATGAACTGAGCAGACTCGGATAGAGTGAGGGAGCGCAAGCGCAAAAGCCTGCAGGGAGCGAGCTAAATTGCGTTTGAATTGCTCCACCAGTCAGCACATGCATGTTCCCGAAAAGTGGAGGGGGCGATGCCGAGCGCTCTGCAGCTCTTAATTGGGGAGCCTGAAGCCCAGACACATCTCGTTGCTATACGCTGTCACCGGAATGCAGACCCTGCACAAGCCCCCGATGCAGGCCAGCCTTGGAGGCTTCCGGCTCCATAGCTGGTCCTCCAGATTGGCAGCAGCTTTATCTTTCCGCGTTTCTCGCAGCGTCTCACCTCGCCCCAAGTGTACCGCGTACAGGAATCTTTAGTGGATCTTTCCCAATACGGTCCAGATCAGCGGCTCTTTTAAGCACCTGCCAGGGCCGAAACGGGAGGGGGCTGCTTTTCCGCGAGACGAAGGATGCGACTTCAGGAGGTCTCAACAGCTGATGGGTGACGGGGAAGTTATGATGATAAGTACATCATCTATTGGGGGTTCAGTTCCTCGAGGCACACCCAATCAGACCCATAGTCAAGTCCAGATCATATCCGTGGGAACAATTCTGTTCTTTTTGTTCATACTCGAAACATGCATCCGAATTCCCAGCCCGACTGCAGTGATCAAAAGTGACCTCGCCCGCCCTCTGGCCTGTCCCGACTCTAATTTAGACAGGGGGCCGGTGCCACATGGAGGCCAATTTGTTGGATGCTCTGGATCACCCGAGGTCAAGTGAGCTGACGTGATCCGAGGAGAAGGCTCGTTTCCTCCCCTTGACCGCCCTCCCGCTTTTCCGAGTCTCGATTGCCCCGAAAGTCCAGCGCCCTTGCAGGATTCATCCTGTGGCGAAAGGCATCGTCGGTCGTGTCGTGTTCGGAACTGGCGTCCTGGCCCGCGAGTTTACCGCTATACCGCTTTACTCCGTCAACGAGAGGCTCGACACTCTGCGGGGGGTAAAAGGGACCGTTCCTACGTCACGGAACCGGGAGAAAGCGTTTGGTTGAACAAGGTAGAGGACCGAAGGTCAAGCGCAAAGCATTCTCTCTTCGTGGTATGTGGTCCAAGTCTATTACTTCCCAAGTTCCAGCGGCAACTGTAGTCCGGAGGGGAGGGGAAGGGATGTGAAACGCAGCGTCGTGAGAAGTGTTCATGCCTCTACCATTCAAAAATGACGCAAACTGTCTGTCGAGGGTGAGTGAAATTCTCGACAGATAGAAATTGCGGTGAATTCCCACTCGTTAACGAACGATCTTTGTCTATGCACTGCAACTGCCTAATCTCAGCTCGCCAAGTCGCTATGGTCTGTCCTGTTCGATGTCAATGACAAGCTAGAGTGACGGTAGAGTGTTGCATGTGGCACAAATTGTGAATGCTTCAGTGAAATGTGCCGACCATTCTTACACATGCAGATATAGCAGCGCATCAGGATCGTGATCTTCCTCGATGCTAGCCTGCCTCTAGCTCTAGACACTCTCCTGCTGAAGCAATCAGAGAGTCCTTCCACCGACCTGTTGACGAAAGCATGAGATCCCACAACTTACCGTATTCCCACCATCCCGCATGCACTTCCGACTCGGACTGCAACGATCTGGTGAGGCCGGACTTGGAGCCAGTGTGCCGTAGTTCCCCATCGTGGCCTAGCCAGATCAAGCTCTTCGTGTTCAGGGTTTCGTCAGTAGCTTCATCCTCAACAACGGGGCTGCTGGCATCGACAGGCACCGCAAGCTCGAGAGTGCTTGGTGATAAGACGTGGCCAGCTCAGATGCCAGGAAACCAATTTTGCTCAGGTTGCTTTTGCGCTTCGCATCGCTGATACTCAAACTGCATCAGCCGCATTCTGCCTGAATCCTGATGCCCCGCGAGTTTCAGCTCTCTGTACTTCTCATGTTCGGTCTTTATTTTGTTTGATCCCTTTCATTATATGGAGGAAGAAGAGAGGATCCGGAATCATTTCTCTTACTTTTATTTGGTAATAGCGCAGAGTTCATGGTGGGAAACTGCAGTTGACAAGAGGAGTTCATCGCCCCTGTAGATTGTCACGTCTTTATGTGGTTTGTGATGGCTGGGATTCGTACGGAAGCTGATGTATCGATTCATGCACCATTTCAACCGTCAGATGGGGTTACATATAAGGTTTTGTAGATGAATGTACGTCCAAATCAAAAAAGCTACTGCTGCACTTCTTGTAAGGTTTAATGTCAGTCGAGATTTGCTGCTCTCGGATTTTGCATTTCTCGGACATTATCTTACTTATGTCAAATGCCTGCGACGAAGAGACTTAGCGTCTGTCCAGAATCCTGGGGGAATCTGGTGCTGTAAGGTAGACGTCATAATCATCATTCAGCAACTTGTTGGAGAATCAGATGCCCTGCTATAACTTGCTACGGTACTTTGCGAGTCTCAGTATGTTCTACATCGGATATGATGTGGCAATACGGACGTTATTGGCTTCTACGGCAGCGTAATATCAAAAAGATTTCACAAATGTAGAGATTTGTACAGACATAACCTTCTGCACTCATGGAAGTTCACGACGACGTCCTCTTTGAGACTAAATCCCGCACTTCAACACCTGCCCACAAACCAAGTCACCTGCGTTTCAGTGTCGAGAAGAAGATGTCCTCTATACTTCCTATACCAGTAGTCCACCAATTGAATTTGGGTGAAATCATGGACAAAAACTTAAAGAGGTACCTCCTTGTTCTCGTTCATCTTGAATATCATCTGCCAAAAAAGCAAGCAACGGAAACCACACGCGTTAGGATAACTGACAAGACGATTTAGAACATACTCTAATATATTTCCAAGCATCATCCATAAAACATCATCGAGCAAATGGTGTTCGAAAGACAGAGCGTATTATCTGTGATGGTTTGAAATTTCGATTTACTTCCAGTAGATTTGAAAGGCAATTTCACCAGAGCATCATGAGAACCGGTACTTGACATGCGATACTAGATTTATAAAGAGGAATGAGCAAATGAGAAGCACGAAATGTGACATAATGCTAGCCCATGAGTAGTCAGCCCAGATGCCCTCAGCAAGGCTGCGTAGGCTGTCCTTACACAAGCATCATGATTTTCAAGCCTTTTTGAGTCCTTTCCTTTTTAGTTGTAAATCAACTCGATCCCCTCCGATATTTATGAGCTGAGCGCACGGGAAAGAAGTAAAAGGAAAAGAAGGAACAAGGAGAGAAAAGAAAAAGAAAAGAAAGCTGATTAGGTAGTATGAATATGCAGAATATTCACATAATCAGAATAGAACAAGAAACAAACGAATGAACGGCCCAAAAAGAGTAAAAGAATAATGTACAGAAAATAGCTTCTTGAATTCGAGAGAACCTCAATCATCGTTCCTTGGAGTCAATAAATGAGGCTGAGGTGATTTTTCCGGTTGAAGATTTACCTCGGCAAGAAGACTCTTTGGATCCCAATGTGTATCCTCTTCGGAAACCTGTAAAACAAGTCGACAGTATAAAGGCTAGACCGACATATGCTATATGAAAGCTGTTGAGTCGCTGGAGCCGCCGAAGCTCAGATGGACCCACAGAATTGTGCCTCTCATGAATGATATCCAGCAATGACTGGGGTTGCTATCATCCGCCTATGCACGACGCTCTTGTAACAATGTCAGAAACACAAGTAAGTCTACCACCAATGATGAGGATAAAGTTATTACTTGAGAGACAGGTGACAGAGAAGATATAAGTGGCCGTAGATCTATGCCTCCTTCCTGTCACAACATGGAATCAGAAGCATCACTTTCAAAATTCTCGCCAATCACACTTAAGAGCGTGCTAACATTCAGAATACACATAGCAAACCATTACAACTCTGTGTTATTACGAGTGAACAGTTTTGATGGAGCCCGCAACTAAATTTGTCGATTCTTTGTCTTCACCTTTACGAATGACATTCAATCTGTGGAAAGTGAATAACTTGTTTTGTGCTTATTACGAAAGACGACGTTTGACGTCTGTGAGTCATTGTGGCATGCACTGATTGCAACTCACAGACTTGCAATTATCATCAAGTGAGGTGGTATTAATCGAGCTGTGTTTCTCCGTTTGCCCTCACTCTGTACCTAGACAAGTCTGACTGTTGTGTACTGTCGTCACTTTCATGTCACCCGTATTTTCCTACGCATCGATTCGTAGCTTTATGAAGCTTCCTACCTTGCTGCTTAAGATGTTGTCTAAATTAGGCTTACCTTTCGGCCTGCCTTGACCTACAAAACTTCATAAAGCGTGCAGGCTGAACCAGGTCCAACCACAACTTTCACAAGTCCTGTTCTGACCAGGTATTTATTTTAATGAGAAAGAGATAAATAAAGCCGACATGTGAATCTTTCAGGGTGCGTGGTTTGAATCGTCGTCAAATTGCACCACCTGGACGATTTTGACCATATACATGTCCCATATATGTAGAATATATTAACGGCATCGACATAGTATATTAAAACTGAAACTTTATTCAGCTCAAGAAAATCTAATGCAAGTCACGTACGTAAGTGAATGGCAGCAGGTATGGCATGTTGGTATCAAGCTCCTTAAACGAAGGAACACGTTGAGCGATTACTCTTGGAGGTGCCGTAACCTGCATCAGGTATTGAGAAGCATCACATTTGCTATCTCGGAGTGTTGGAAATGTGAAGCATACTAATCAGGATTCATTTCCTCATCGCCCACATTATGTAAGGCACTGGAAACAGGACACACATATTTGTCATCTTGTTGAAAAGGAAGCATAACTTGAGTAATGGATGGTCATACCTGGCTCCCGTCTTGTAGTTCAGGGATGTCCTGGGTCTCTGCATAGAAGAAAAGTGTGCAAGCCATGGCAGAGATAAATGTAAAGCTAACAATGTCAAGTTTCTTTCTTCGTGTGAAGAGTCCACTTTGCATCTTTTAGTCAACTTCGACTTGCTATTTGATAAGGGAAAAGTCGTGAAGCATAATACCATCTTCTTGAGAGTGTTTAGACCTATCTGGAGCTGCCTGAGCATTGGATCTGTAGAGAGATGTCAAACAAGGATTGATAACAATAAGTGAAGACAACACGAAGAAGTAAAACACAAGACTCTCAAACGACCGCATAAGCGCCCGTTCCCTCTAGTCCTGGGAGTCCGTGAGAATCTACGGGGTTGAAGTACAACCATTCCGACAAACCAGATCAGACTTCACAAATACTTGCTAGTGAAGACTTGCGTGATGATCTATTTGTATATTTATCTTCTGATACATCTGGATAGAATGTTGAGAGTAGAAGATAGGTTAGCATTGCTCTATAGCTAGTGTTATAGATTATAGGCAGGACAATCGGTTAGGTGATGTTTATTGGCATGCTCTACTATTTACAATTCGTTTTTTAGCTTACCATATTGTTCTGTAGATAGTATTCTATTACCTATAGATCGTTTTATAGATGACCTGTCCTGTATGGTTAGTGCTTTATTAGATCTATAGTTTATAGGGAGTATTAACCGACGGTGATGTTTCTTGGTATGCTCTATTATTTGAATATCTTTTCATACAGACCAGTCCTCTATATGTAGTGCTTTACGTTGAAAACTCTGGAGGATGTTTCTTAGTATAGTATATTATTCGTAGAGACTTCTACGGGAGGTAGTGCTATACATTGTTAAAATCGCGTTGATGATGTCTCTTGGGAAGGTCTGGTCTTTATAGACTTTTGAGATAGATACTTAGGATATATTAGATACATTAAGATACATTCCCCCGTGTTTCATTTCTTTGGGGCTATTTCTAAGCAAGTGCTTCATTGTTGTGGGGCTTGATTGAATCTTATCCTTAGTTTAAACTAGGTAGTTTGAACTATCTTAGTTGCTAGAAGACATTTCCATACCATTAGACTTTGATTAATTTTTACACGTCTTGATGATTCTTCCCTTTCGCTAAATTACTTCAGAGATTGCTAAACAAATCATTCCGTAAAACTACCGTCGGTGCACCAAGGAATTATGATTTTTTATCCTGTTGGGTCTTTCCCATTCTTGTGTACCACAACTTTTGAGGATGCACGGAACTCCGGATAGATTGATTTGTGCTAGCATGCTGTTCATAACCGCACAGCATCGAATGCCCTCTAATCTTCATGTTCCTTTACTTGAAGGAATACGCTACCTGCTTGAAAGTATGAACCTCGTCTGTTATAAGTTATTCCAACTTGACTTCGGAGAAGGTGAGCCTGGGAGAGGTCAACTTTAGTTACGCCGGAGAAGTACTATACGCCTAGTACTACAGTATTATCTGGAATAGTCCTCACACGGAACCATCTCGTTCTCTGTCATTGTAGAGGCGGTCTCAACCTCCTTGGAGATCCTATGTTGCAACTCTCAAGATGTGGTTATCAGCACGCCATCCAGAGTTACTGTATAGTTTCACAACTCTCTTTACTGTTGGAGGTTGATAATCAAGCTCCAACAGTAAAACCTACGGGTGATAGTTCTCATCCTTATCCTGCTCCCCACTGAACTTTCTTCCTTCTATCTCACACTCTCTAAACTGCTCTTTCTCCTACCTCTCTGAAGTTTCAAACTCTCATACCTCAGTTTCCTAAACAATTCTGTTCAGCATTGTAATATAATGGGACAAATGAAAGTTCATGATTCTCAAATCTAGGCTGTTTCTAGAAAGCTAAGCACTATACTCAATAATATTTTGAAAAACCCATTCGTCGTCATGAAAAAACCGATCCATCGTCAGGTGATTAATGCCTTGCTTTTACTGTTACATAACAGGTGCATTGCAGCTCCGAGATCAAATGAAGTTGATAAGAAGAAAACCTTCTAAATGTAACAATTTTTCAATTTCAGTTGTGTTGCAGAGGCATTTGAAAGATTCTTCCCCAGAAATAAATATACTTCAACTCAACTTGAAAACATAAGAGACATTATTCATTAATTTCATGATTAAAAATTGGGCTCGGAACTATTTATGAGTGTAAGGGCTTTGAAAACAAACGCTTTGGTGTAGCTCATGCGAAGAGAATGGTCTTCATGAGAATGATCACAGAGCACACCTTAGAGACAGTAAGCTCTCTCTCCAACTGGTGCTAGTTCACTGTATAAACTCAACTTTTGCTATATTTCAAACTTTTGGTTAAAATCTGAGGACTTGATTGATTGTGAAGTAATGAGAGTACACTGCCAATACAGGACGAAAACCATACGTTGGATTTTAGTTCTGTGAATATGAATAAGAAAACCGTGTGAGAACAGGGAAAAAACAAGATGAGAATGTCAACGTGAAGAACACCGGGGAGACGCCGGAAGGTCATAATCTTCGGGGCTTTGCAAGATGAAGAACCCGCACTAAGCATCTCACAAGATGGGAGATAGAAAACAAGAAGCCGTCCGAAGTACAGATCGAAAGGACTGCCTACTCCCGAGAAATATAATTCGGTATTTTGCAGATCTACTTCCTGCTCTAAAATTTGAGATAGTTTCAACGTCTACAGAGTCCAGCAAGGGCATGCGACATTAGATTTATAACCGCCTCCCATCAAGCTTCTGATGGGTCCAGAGAGGTACATGGTTTCAAGCTTATCAGGGAATACTTAAGGTTCTGTTGGAATTACATTCGAATGTCTCCTACACAATGATAATCAAACACTTACTATAAAGCATTTCACGAAACTCTCGAGATGACAGACTGATGATTGATAAAGAAAACTTAGCCGTTACAATTCTAAGACGAACCTACACATGCTGATGGGTAGCTGAGCAGGCATATTCCGCTTAGAAACCAATTCCACAAAACTTGTTCTCATAATAAATCTTTTGAACGTAATCAATCTCGTACACTACAGTAAAACATAACAGTTATTCCCAGGGTGACCGAAAATAGGCCAGAAATAAGCCAAGGACAAATTTCTCAAGATAAAGCTAAAACGAATATCTCAAAGCGGAAGGGTGCAGATTGCGTATAATGGTAGATCATGAAAGTGCAAAATGCTTCAAAGGACTCTTGGTAGAGCATGATACCAAAGATTCTAATATCATACTTCACACTACAAAGTTAGAGCCTCGGAATAGCGTTAGAAATTAGCATCAAACTTTGTAATTGTAAGAACAGACAGGGAAAAAACTAAATTAAAGGAAGCGACTTTCAAAAGAAAATGTAGTATAGAGCAAACCCCCGTTGGCGACGACCAGTGATGAGCTTGAACACACCGTCAGCCTGATCTTGTGGTGAAGGTGAAATGTCCCAGCCCACCTTGGATTTGGGAGGTGAGCGATCCTGTGATAGTTGCATATCATTTGCGGCATCAAAGCATTAGTCTTGCTGACAGTAAAAAATCCTGATACGACAGAGGTAAGTTACTTGTCTATATTCCACTCCCTCCAAGAACTAGTTATATATGGTTCACTATACTACTTTAACTTAGTAACCTAGTTTTGGATTAGGGTTATGATTGCTGTTCACGGCTCTGAAACTATTTACATTCTCTTCACCTCAGTAGAAATTTGACATCTGCGTGAAACAATATTTCAGATATTTTTACATATTTAGTCTGAACTTTTCTGTTAGTGACAGTAGCTACAATTTTAGGAGATGATAGTATGCATGAAGTTAGCAAGCTAGAAGGCTCCAGCAACTATGGGCCATGTAGTTTTAGGTTGAGGAACATTCTGCTCGAGGGGCATCTATGACAGGTGGTGACAGGTAAGGAGACTAGGTCCATTGACGCAGATGCTCAAAAGTTCAGCAACTTTGAGAAGAGAGCCAGCAACTCAATCTCCTCTATCTGTTTGAACCTCATCTTTGAAACTCATCTCTGAGATGATTCCTGAAGTGATAGGGCTGAAAACAGACAAGGAGGTCTGGTACAAACTGAATAAGAGCTTTGATACACAGTGAACCACAAGAACTTTGCTACTCAAAAGCCAGCTTCACTCATAGCAAATGGGAGAGGATAGGTCTGAGCTTGAGTATGCAATGCAAATGAAGGTATTGTTTAAGACCCTTCAAGGTGCTGGAGTTTCATTGGAAGGCTGAGATACTGCAAACTACCCAGAACAGTTTTAATGACAATTTCATGATGTTAAGCACAAAAACAACTCTCTTACGATTGACCAGCTTTCAGTCATGTTAGAAAATCAGAATACGAAATTTTACACAATGCTGAGAAACCTTAGTTTACTTTAACAGTGTTAGAAAATTTTCATCTTCTTTTCTCCAGGGCCACAAAGTCGATTCAAATTCCGAATTATTTGCTTCTGGATCCTCAGCTAGCTATAGCTCCGGTTTCTATACCTACAGCAAGATGAAGAACCATACCTTCTCTAAGTGTTGCAGATTGAAACTTAGTCAGTGCTTCTTGTGTGGCACAAAAGACCACAAGATAGATGGCTGCCTCCGGAAGAGCAAGGAGAGGTACCAAGGTACCAACTTCCATAATAATTCCGATTCAATAGGAGCCTGTCATAGTTGAGAAGATGTTTGCTACTATGATTAAAAAACCCGCAGGGTGTTATGAGAAAAATCAAGCAAGAATTGGAGTGAGAAAACCAAGGTTGTCTTACTCAATTTACCAAGAGGAGCCTCTTCCCAAGAGACTCCCCTGTACATGCACTCAGCTTGTTCATAACTCATATGTCCCATGCATAGATTGAGAAACATGAAGGATGGAGAAATATTGAGGATAGCAAATAGAGCAGTAGTCTTGATTTTGGTATGGAAAATCTGAAGATGGACTTGTGCCAAGGAGTAGGGATCATATTAGATGTGCTTCATGTTCCTAGTCTCAAGACAACCTTACTATCAGTAGGCCAGATATGCGACTGATGCTTGTAAAGTTCCAGTGTTTGATCTAGATATGAAGGAGAAAAGTAGTTTCTTCTCACAATAAGCTCCAACAAGCCTGAATGTATCTATGAGGGCTACATCTATAATTGGCAACGTAAGGAAAGCTTCCCCAAGACAAATACCTCTAAAGCACTTGATATTTTGGTGCATTCAGTCATAGTTGGCCATGTACAAAGTTTTTATAGGCAGCGCTAAGTATTTTATGACCTTCATTGTCGAAAACGGAAGAAAAATCTGGATCTGAATTCTCAACAAGAAGTAAAGACCAATTCAGTGCTTCTAGAACTTCACAATGTATGTGAGGAAGAAGACAGTGCTTTCAAGAACTTCAAAATCTATGCGGTGAATGAGACAAGCAAGAAGCTAAAAGCCTTTAGATCAGATGGTGGAGCGGATTACATCCCTAGTCAGGTCAAGGAGTTCTGCCTACGACGAAGTGTCAGAAAAATTTACGGTAGAAATTGAAATTCATATGTAGAGAAGCTACATCTGCAAGGTTTCAGTGAATCAGACGGTTGATAATGCAGTCACCAGAAGGTCTGGAACTATTATGTGTTTCTTTTCCAAGCGTGATAATGTGATAACATGGAGAAGCAAAGCACCGTACTTTTGTCCTCGACAAAGGTAAGGTACGAAGCTCTATGTGGACCAGTATGGAAAGCTGTTTGGCTACTTCTCGTTTACCACAGTAATTTCGTCCAGGGACCTAGTTGGGGTAACCCAATTTCGAATTAGGATAGGGACTATTTCCGAAGGCTCTCAGCTATTAATATTCTCTCTACGTCAGTGAGTGTAAGTTCTGAACTGTGCCTGAAACAGTCTTTACATAGGTATCGGATCCACCGGAAGTTTCACACCACGTGGCTTCACAAGTCCCTCTTTGAGTTAAGTTGTCAACCATGCTAAAGCACATCAATAGCCTCTGATCACAGACTCTAACTTGCAAACCTAAATTGAAAATTTCAAGATTACGAACAAGAGGAAAACTCGAAGTCACTTCTGGGTATAGGAATAAGGAAAAACTAACATCTTATCTTACCTCAGATAGGTGGCAGAGTTCATCAAATTTTGTAACCCTAGGAGCTTCTATCACAACTGCGCTGACAGATTTTCAGTCATTCTCACCTCTTTTGCGCCATCTGCAGCATTCTCGTCCATTATCTGTGATATTTTTAACGCAGTACTTACGAATGCCTGGATAGAAAAAAGCGTCCGATTCACTCAGTTTTGAGGCAACATATTTTGATGTAAGCGAAATTGACTGACAAGGTTGCACTGCGCTGTCTGAATATCTTACCTCCTCAATATTTTGAGCAGTCTTTGCAGAGCCTTCAAAGAAGGCTAAACCATTGTCCTTGCAAAACTGTTCGCCTTCTTCGAAACTCACTGCTCTCTTATGAGACATATCACATTTGTTTCCAAGGACAATCAAAGTCATACTCGAACTCCCATGCTTTCTAGCATCTTCCAACCACTTGCTGAGATGATTGAAAGTCTCCCTCCTTACATCGAATCGAACGGAAGAATCGAAAGAAAAGGTTTAGCATAGAAAGAATTAGGTGTAAATCAATGATAGGAACAAGAGATGATAAACTGCACAACCACTTCTGCAAGCGTACCTAAGGACCAACTGAAATGTACATGACTATATTCTGTATTAACTAAAATGAGAAGGCTTAGTTATCTTCCAGCTGGCCACAGTAGTTGGATCATCAACAGACTAGACTGATCAAAATTCATCGATCGAGAAATAGCATCATACTTCTAGCAGGCGACTACACAAAGAAAATGATCGGAAAAATTGTAGTGAATGGATTACTTCTAAATATTGTCACATGTCACATTCAAGCTGAAAGGAACAAAAATCCACCCTTGCATATAGTATAAACAGTATAGATTACTGCATTGTGAAGGGTAGAGGTCACCACACAAAGTTTTCTATGCACAACGTAAGTTATGAAAAGAATCGAAGGACATTGGTCCCTAGATTAAAACTTAATACCCATGCCCATCGAAGGGCATAGTTCTCAATCACACAAGTTTAGGACACAAAATGTCTCAAAACAAAGGTCTAGCTTGCTTGGATAGTGAGCCGAAAGATCAGTACCTGGTAATGTCATATACAAGTACAACCCCAGCTGCTCCTTTATAATGGGACTTGTGTACTGATGGGAGAGCAGCCTGCCGAGCCTGCCGGAAGAACCCAATTGATGAGCACCGGGAGATGCTTATAGTTCCGCAAGTGCAGACCAAAAAATCGGACAAGGCATCGATCAGCGATCAAATTAATTGCAGTGTTTTCAATCAAAGACCCTCAGTTTTAGCAACTGCCAGTTGATATGGACTGTGTATTAAAGATATTGTCTCCCCTGAACTGCGACGCGTTAACAGCATCGCCGAAGGAGAGTCTAAGGTTTGAATTGATGGAAACAAACGGTAGGTAAAATGAGAACGGGGAGAGAAAAAGGTTGAACTGGAAGCAGTCGCGCAATAAGGTCAGTTCTATCAAACTGAACACCTTCAGAGGATTCAGCAGCAAAATGAAAATAGTAGACGCAATAAGTATGAATACGATGTAAGGCCACTGTCATAGGTACAGTAAATGTGACCCATAGAAGATGAAAAATTAGTAGTAGAAGTAGATATGACAAGGATAGCCTAAGACTTGTATATGCCTAAGACTTCTTACTCCCAAGTCCCGTACGGACTAATATGAGATTTTCTCCACGAACCAGCACGTGGTGAGCAGTTAGGCACCACAACTGCCCTCTGATAATATTGGCAACTTTGAGCAGTTTAAACATCTATTTTGAAACTTATCTCAGCTCGATTTCTTCCAACTCCAGCTGCGTAGATCCAGTTTGCTGAACTATGGGTGGCAGGAACTATTAAGCTATCAAACTAGGATTACAAATAAAACAGAATGAGCTGGATTTTTGGCACGTATCACCATAGCGCCTGAGGTATAAGACAGATGATTGTGTAAAAACACAAGTGGAAGATCAGAAGGTACAGCAGGAGCCAGTAGGACGGTCAAAGTGTATAAGGTTCAACTTAAAGACGTGAGTGTGATTGTAAACACAAACGGGTGGAGGGACGCCGTCGCACATAGACACGGGCTGAATGAGGCACAAGAGAGGAGTGCAGAAGGCAGTTTCGTTCTGAAGGAAGAAATAACCGTTATTATAGAAAGATAATTCAAGCATTATGACTGCAACAATTTCTTGAGTGTATATATAGTGCAAACAACAGAAGGTTGACGGTACGAAAAAGAAATTCTGGCACTAATAATAAATTAGAAAGGAAATGCATTTACAAACAAAATGTTCCATACAAACTGTTGCAAAGTATGAAAACCTTGCATAATAACAAAATGACAATATCGTACCCAAGATCCTCGAAAAATGAGAAGAATAAAATTTATGCGATGGAATATATTCCTAAGCATCAAAAAGCTGTTTTGATGGGATATTAGGTTTGAGTTCAATCAAGAAATCATCAGAAGCGTGCGTGAAGATGACATTTCATACGACAGCAATCCTGAAATACAATCAGATATAGAACAATCGATTATTGACGACCAAAATGCTATGGAATCATGCACTAAGGCAATAACGAACCTAATATATATCTATCCACAATACACCACAACTAGTTCCATTTAATTCCACCGTAAATAAGCTAAAGAGTACATGTCATGGTATTGAGCGAATAGAACTGAATTTCTTACCGAATTCCATATTTGAAGCTTGATCAGTTTATCCTTTCTTGTAACTGAAAGAGTTCCGAACTCAATACCAACATTCGGATCTTGAGACCCTTGAAAGCGCCTCTCGATAAAATGCATCATAATACATGCCTTCCCAACTCCTGCGCAAGGTCATGATCAGCCTACAATCTGAAACATTCATTTAATTCAGAAATTGGCAGAAAAAATGCCCAATCACCTTCTTCTCTTCAGCCAGATGAGGTTATGGAACCTTCCTATTATTTATCCTGTTTGATAGAATAATTCAATCAAATCTGATCCAGTCTTGCCTCTGTATCCAGTCGATTACGGCACTAACCTGCAGGTGTAAGTATGCAAGCACAATTGCTCATATGAATAGGACGGTAATCAGTTCTATCCCAAAACCTTTAGATGTGATAAGGGTTTGGTAAACTTTACAACAAACAAACTTCCTAATCAATTAAATCTGGTTCTATTTACATAAATTCGTCTACCAGTTTCTGAGAACAGAAAACTGCACTAGGAAAATAATGGTATAGCTTGTCCTAAAGAAGCAAGTCTACAGAAACAGTGCAGCACTTTCTTAACAGAGTAGATTGGATTAAGAACTAAAAGATTTGTGTGTATCGGAAGGTGGGTAGACAGCATGCTTTACTTTAAAGTCCATACTTTCAACATCTCGAATATTCACATTTGTAAAACCTGGGGATTAGATTATCACTGTGATGAGTGGATAATTTTCGACACACAGAGAGCCTGGCAGTGAAACAAAGGGATGTGAGTGGCGTTCAAACATAACATTGACCAGTTCCAAATGCGAATAATGTCAAATTTCTTTCAAGGAGGTGTACAAAACCAGTGCAGCACTTTCGTTAAGGGGGTAGAATTGGATTGAGATCTAAAAGCTTTGTTTAGAAGGTGGAACGCCAGCACGCGTTAGTTGTCTATCCATTCTTTCCACATCTCGAATCTGGAGATACGTAAAACCTGACGTTTAGGAAGATATGAAGGAGATAGACCAATTAAGATTCTCCAGCTTCAAAAATTAAAGAATCTGTATTGAAAACAGTCCTCACCTGGACAAACGAAACGACCTCCAGTCGTTTCGTTTTCCTAATTTCAATCATGGAGCTAAAAACAAAGAGCAGAACGAGAATAACCCCAACCCAATCGTACTGACGCTTTGCAGCATCCGAGAGAGTACGTGGCCCATCTCAATACCACAACATGCTTCCAAAGCTTTAACGATATAGATCCACGACAGGAAACAGGAAGCAACGAATCCAGGCTTAAATATAATAAAAACATGAAGTACAAACCAGAACAGAGCTTTAGAAAGATGAGAAGGACATTAGAAAACACGAATAGAGATTACATGACCGATATTGTACAAGCAACCAACCAACACACCTGAGTCGCCCACAATGATGAATTTTAGGAGCTGCTGCATTGACGGCGATGTCGAAGGCATTTATCGTCCTTTCAATTCTTCTCACTTCGCTTTTCAGATCGGCTACCTTAGCATTTCCTCGGCTGGTTACGACACTCGAGCATGCTATCACAGGAATCAATGGGGGCAGTTACAAGCAGAACCGGATCCCTGCTGCAACTTTTACCTTTTCTTGAATTGAACACTGGAGTGATAGTATGGCAAGATCTGATGAATTTGTAGGCAACGAGTGCTGTTACTAAAAAGGACGACGAGACAACGACTCACGTTTTCTGTCAAAATTAAGCTCGGAGCCTTGGATGTAACGGAGCATAGTACCGTACCTACGCTTCGAACCTTTGAGCTGAAGAAGTTGTATCTAAGAAATACTAGACTTGGCCTTCAAAGCACATTTGCTGGTTTCATCTGAATTCGTGTTAATGAGACGTATCCATGCATTAGTATGGCCCACCTTGGTACTCCTGCCATGCTTCTGTTTCGCATGGCACCGTCCTCCCAAGGAGAACTCTCGCTGCCTTACTGATAACACAAATGATAGTTTAACATTTACCATAGTTTAACAGAAACTGTCGATCATGTCAACGACGCTTTTCAACTAACACTGGAGAATGTCCGAGGGCAGTAAAGTTTTGGATTTCTATTGCTGCAGTAGGATAGAGCACATTCAAAGGCTAGCTCTCTGCAACTGGAAGTTCACAAATACAGGGAAAACAGAAAGAAGGTTTGAACTTCTGATCTTCCCAGAAATGAAAACTGAAGTGAAGTGAACACTCTACACATTCGCTAAGCCTTGCAGCATTAAGATTGCATCGCCTGTCGCTATTCTATTGTTGTTATTTTGTCAACATCCATATTTATACCGGTATAGCTAGATGTTAGTTCAAAGTAGCCATGACTCTTGGCAGGAAAACCCATGGTCAGATAACGAAAACTGCGACTTGGACTCGTGTTTTTTTGTCAATGTTCAAATAGCATATAGGTCATAAATGAATAAAAAAATGTAATACACGTAGATCATATTACATTCACGAAATATACGTGTCAGTATATTTCAACCCAATCCATGTTTTTTTCAAATTTTGAACAAAAAAGACTTCGAGACAAATATGGTATATATATATATATATATATATATATATATATATATAACAATGATATTCTATTATTGAGAATATTTCAGATAATGAAACATGATAATTTATAACTGTACATAAAACATCAAAGGAGGGAAAATTAAATTTCATTTTATCGATGTGCAAGCATCTTCAACGAGCTTAGATTGTTCGAAGTTGATGAAATAAATTACTCGCATTTATATTATTATCACACAAAAACATCTTAATTTTTTGAGATCTTCATTATATTAGATTAGAAAAGAAACAATTATCCAAGAAATATATAATTAAGAAAGCATAGATGATTAATTAAAAAAAATTCATCATATATAACATCTCAAACTAATAAATTTATAATCATATTTTTAGTACCTTGAAATAATTATTCCATTATATTATATTAAAATACTTTTTAGCCTAAAATAAATTTTGAGCTTATGGTAATTAATAATTGAACGCTGAATTTTATCTCAATTCCTTCAACAAGGTTTGACTTTATTGGTAGCTTAAAAAGGATGCGAAAATTTGTAGAGTCAAAAATATTCATTGATGCAATAAATTTCAAATTTGATGTAGTTTTGTTTGGAAACGTTTAAGAAATATCAAGATATAATATTATCATCTAAAAAATAGGAAAAAAAACAATTCATTCGTAAAACTCATTGTTGGTAACTACCAAATGTTGAAGTTTTTGAAATATATTTCAATTGACATGTACTTGAGGATTAAAAAATACGTATCTCTATTTTTTTATTTTCAAATTTAAAAACGAATATATTAATAATCAAGTTTTGAAAGTGTAAAGCTAAAAAATAAATCCTATATCAGGTCAACTTTTTTCACTAGATGAACCTATTTAAGAGCGTATTTAATAATGTATAGTTTGTCGTGGTCTTTCCAAGTTCCGGGTTCAAGATTTTAAATCAAAGTAAACATGGCAAATATCTGGCATTTAATTTCTTAAAGGTATTTATTACATTTATAGTTTGAAATACATTGTAAGAATGTATACAGAATACATTAAAAAATGTATTTAATAATTATAATTCATATTGAAAGCATGAAAATATAAACATACCAAAATCATTTGAATTGAATCTATTATATTGAATAAGATTATTTATCATAAAATTTATACATATATCAACTAACACCTGTGATCACTTTTTTTTAAAAAAATCAAATATCATACATGATATTTTCTCGTACACATTATATCTAATATCTCACCATTTTTAGATACAAAACCCAAGAATGAATTTTTGATCACACTTATTTCAAAATCTTTCTGTTTGAAAGTACATAAACAAAAAAGAATCTTCTACACTATTTTTACATAAAATATCATATAACTTGGATCATGGATGCGCAAATCAACTGAAGAATCAACATAACTTTTACAGTACAATAATCTGGCATAATACTAATTCTTGCCGCCATCGATCTTATGGAGCGAATTAGCGAATTGGCTGGCTAGAGAAGCATATTTTGGAGGATATTGGCTGTACATATCGGTAGGTTTCCATCGAAATTAACTATACCTGTCATGTTAAGCAACTCCCATGCGATATTTAGCCCATTCGTCTCAGTGTAGTACATTCACTCACCTAATAGTTCTCTCCCTGCTTTTCCTTCTCGCGACAATGTTTGAAAAGTCGTTTTTGGGCCAGATTCTACAATAAAGCCAACTTTGCCTCCCTTCCTCAGCTGAAAGCAAGTTTCCCGACCATCAATTCCCGTATCAAGACCAACGCAACGATATACGTACTGAACAATATTTCCAGTATGTTGAGGAGAAAACCGTTTCGACAAACATTTCGAACATGCATACAGTTACTTGCCTGCCTACACTTTGCACTAAAAAACTTGGGGTGACAACCAAAAATATAGGTTGGACTCACCCTCCCATCTTCTGTCAAAAGCTATCCCCTGACGCTCGCAATGAGTACGACGTCGGCTGCCGGATCTCTCTATGTACTCATCGATTCAAACAAGAACTCAGGCGGTTAAAAGGTTAGTCGCCAGAGGCGCCCACCTTCTACCGCAGCACCTCTTTACCAGAGTAGGGAGGGCATGTTCTCTACCAGTAGAGATGAGCGTTCCAACTCTGCGGCTCTCTTGCAGCCCCGTGCCACTTCTCCATATCGACAGTCTCATTCTAAATACAGCCAACTCCTATCCCTTTTTCATCGTCACACCCGACCCCGACTGTCGACTTTTCGCTCACGGCTCCCAGTGGTCAGCAAGGGGAGCAATTCGCTGTCATGTGGCGGCTTTGGCCACACTTTCGAGCCCCTCCTAATAAAGGCAGGTGGTACTGGACCTGCAGACTGGACCACCCACTGTGTCTTATTGTCAAAGGATGATGTATGAGCTGTACCGGATGAAGAACAGACACGACCGCTGAGTGCAGTAACACTTTTCTCAGGTTCCTTGATCTAGATCTAACCAGCCTGCACTGCAGATGATCTTACAGGTTGCTTGAAAGGAAGGTACTTTAAAAGTCTCTACACCCGATGATCGTATCCAGTCTTTTGCTTGGTCTCACGCTCGAGTTTATATGTCGTCAGTAGCCCACGTTCTCGAGCAGATCTTCCGTGCTCATCTCAAAAACCTTAGTGGTATATGCCCATGCCAGTTCCACAAGTGACAAAAGCGGGAAGAGCCTTCACGACAACAGAAGGTACGCTCTGACCTGTGCAGCTATTATCAGACACACTGAGGACTCTATTTTCTTGACTTAACTTACTTGGCACTACAAGAAAGAATTTCACTTTCAAAAACAGGAAGAAACGGTAGGTAATGGGGCTGGTCAGTAAAGTTACTCAGACATAGAGAACAGCTCAGACTCCGAGGACGCATCAAAGATCGTAAGAAACCATCCCGTCAGCCCACGATTCAGTTCACATGTCCGCAAGAGACTCTAAATTCATTTGAATCGAAAGGCGTCATCACTGTCGCAAGAACCGGTTTTTGTAGATGCTCAGGCACAGGGTCCACATGGGATATGATCAAGCACAAGGGATCCAAACTGTGATCTTCCCATATAACGAACCATTCAGCTCTCATCCTTTACAAAAACAATCCATCAATTGACTGACGTACAGGACTCGATGAAGCTCTCATGTCAGTAATAAAAAACCGCAACGAGTTCCACCTCAACTGGTGAGAAAATGTACGAAAATGGAAAAATCAACCGATTGAAAAACAATTTACACTTGGCCGCGGATTTAAGCAAAAAGTCGTACATTCACCAGCAACTTCAACTTTCTTGCTTTCATCTTTCAAAACAGAAACCTACCTAGGTCGGTCATAGTAAACAATTACTCATTCCTAATTTTCCTAAAAGCTACTACTCCAAGAAAACATGTTACATCCAGGGAATTACATCCCCGTCATCATTTGAAGGATCACGTGACCTTCGGTACCAGATTACTGCACAAAGGGAAGGGCATTCCAGGAACAATTGGTTTCCCCGTGCGACGTAGTAAGAGCTACGGGAGTGGTGTATTTCTCTCCGTCAGTCTCACAAACTTCCTACACGAAAATAAAAATTCACGGGAATCATGTGACGAGTTAGGGCGCGAGCTCAGTAGAGGAAATGAAGGCGCATAAACTAACAGAATGAGGTCCCTGACAGAGTGGTAAGGAGATATGTATCCAACGCCCACAACGCAGATGTGGATGACGAGGGCAGCTCGTGACCAGATATTACCGATTTGGGGATTCAGCAAATTGACGTGAGATCAGGGCATGAACGGCAGCTCGATCGTAAGTTCCAGAAAGAGTGGCAGAGAGTCGTTTCCCTTTGGGCGTGGGATGAGGGGACTGTGCAGGTGACCGAAAGGCTGGAGACGGGATTGGAAGAGATCTATCTATCCGTGTTTCATCTCTTAGCGCCTCTTTCTCGAGGTGTGAACAATAACTCTCAAAAACGTTCATGGTTACAAGCAACCTAAAATCAAGTCGAAAAAGCAATTCCAGCTCCAAGCGATTCAACTCCACCACGCTGACTCCACCTACTCTTGCAAAGAAGGAGTTGTTGAAATGTCTGCAAGAGCAACACTACCATCAATTAGGGGAAAGCATGGTTGACCAGTTGTCACAAAGTGTATAACACCGATTCCAAGGAAACCGCGAGGGGCTACGAGGGAGGCATGTTGGGAAAATGATAGAAGAGACTGCAAAGTCCCTTCCCGAAAAAGTCAACATACAATATGCAAGCCAAAAGATCTTTTTCTTGAGAATCGCGTCTAAGAAGACGTGATTCACAGTATTGTCTTTACAGCAGTCGAAACGCAGAGACAGATGGAGAACTTACACATCATCGAGCATTTTCGTTGCCACCATGACACTCGTAACAAGGAGACGGTGCACGTTGAGCGAAGTGACAGGAAGGTCCGGTTGCCGGTGGATGAGTCTGTCAATGTAAACATATCCCACGACGAAGCACGAAGGACTGCAATTCGTGTACTTGAAGATACGCTCCAGGTACTTACCAATGCTTATACCGGGCGCTCGGAGTCCGTGAAAAGCCGTCAGCTTACGGGAGTTCAGTGTGCTGGTTGTATAAGTAGCACCTGCGTATCGCTCGTTCCTGGCGACTAAACGCTCCAGGACTTGTGAAAGCACATTGAGAACAGACGGTATCTCTCTCTCTGGAGGAATCACCTCCTTGCAGTCCTCTTTGAATTCCAGATCCGACTCAGAGCAGGAATCGGAGTCCACTCCGTTGCGGACCGGAGGGGTCTCCGCTTTGCCCATTTCCTTAGCATGGGAGATGCCCGATTGCATAAAAGGCTCGAGTTCTGGCATCCGAATCAGTAACAATTGCAAAAATATTTGAAAAAAAGAAGCAAATTCGTCGACCTCGTCGCGTGAAAGGACTGTGAATCTCCAAGTTAAAGACTACGCATAATCCTCTTCACTCAACAGCTTCCGGAATTCCGCCCTAAACCCCCGTCACCTACACCGAAGATAGTTACTTCTCTTAAGCACCGCGGGCCTCCCCTGCGACTTGATCCCTCCTATCTTCCTGTAACCCTCCTCCAGCTCCAATGCATCCATAACTCCCTGCAGCACCGGACCGCCTCCTCTCCTCTCCCCTCCCCTCGCTTCCCTCCACAAGGTGCACAATACACAAGCTAACCGTCTTCTCCTCTCTGTTCAACGCCTCAATCCGTTCTCACGCGGCGTTATGTTGACCTCTTGCTTGGGCTGCTCCTTCTTCCCCTCACTGTCAGCAATCCCACGAGACTCAATCGATTGCAATCCAATTCTCTTTCATGCCTAACGCTCGCTTTACTCATCGGCTCCACGGGCTGCTGCTGCCATAGCTGAACGACCACACGTCCCAGTCGTCGGCCTCAGCTACGTTCCCTCCCTTTCCTCGCACCCTCCGTCTCCCACTGCTCTCCTCCTCTGCCTCCAACGCTGCTCAATTAGCGATCCCGACGGCCTTTCCCTTTCTCGGAGTCCACCCCCCGCGCCTCAGCGCCTTTCCTGTCCGCGGCCCCCTCCCTTTCTTCCTCTTCCTTTGCTGCTGCCGCTACGCCGCAACACGTCAACTACGGCACATCTCGCTGCGAGTTTTCTCATTCCGTTCTCACCATCTACTGTTATATCGGGCCGCTACTTCCGAACCTCTCGCGAGAGCTCCACCGGCTTAATTCTCCACGGAGCTAATGAGGCCAAGAGATTCGTCATTAAGCTCGACGACATTCCGGAGACAATGTCGTCTCCTGGACTCTTGAGCCAGACGCATGCCACCACGTCGGATGCGGATATCGGTACTACTCGGCTCCCACACGGGTTGGGTTCGTAGATTTTCACGACTCGCGTCTGATGAATGTGAAAGTCGTGTTCGGTAGGGGGACTGACGAGTGAGCGCGATTCCCAGCTCCACCAACCAGCGGGAGTGTTACTCCTCCGCCGGATGCCCGGGCCGGTCCTGCGAAACTTTCATTCGCTCTTGGTGGAGCCCGCCGACCATCTCCTGCGAAGAACGCGACCTCCAGAGCGTGAAGCGACGACGCAGGAGGAAGGTGCGCCGGGGCCGGACGAATGTGCTGTGTAGCGGAACCGCGGGCAGTCTTTATATCCACATCGCGTTCACACGGAAACATACGGAAAGGATATGTTCTCCTACTCGATAACGCGACACTTAAAATCCCTCGTCCATGTTAAGCATCTTCAGGAAAGCGGTACTGTAGGCTCGATATATATAGTGTGATTCCTCTTGGCCGTTGAAATACAGTTTAATTGCAATTTAAACTACGAGATATTATGCATTTTTGGGCCGTCGATTCTCGATCGTGCCGCCTTCCGTATATCATGCAGACGATTCTGTTAATTTGAATCGTAAATAGAGAAGGACCGTTGAAAATGCTCCTCTACGTACGCCGGACTATACGTCGATCACAAGCCACAGCCATTCTTCCACCTTTACATTCGGCGGCATTGCCCACTGTGCTCCGGATTAGGAACAGGGAGACGGCGCTACGCTGTTCTAAGAACATCTCTTAATACATCTGGCTGGCTGAAGAGCTTTGAGCTCGCATTTGACTTCTACGTACTTGACTAATTTTCCACTATACGTGAGCGTATTCATAGGCTCGTTCATATTCTGTATTTGGTTAGATGCTGGAGCATTATCCATGGAACCCATTCCAGAACTTGCAGAAAGACACGAAAGACAACTAAACTGTGGTAATCCAGATAGAATTTTCCGCCTTTTGCGTGACGGTTAGGGATTTCTCCCGCTTCCTCCTGTTTCCCGGTAGCGCATGGAGTGATATGACCCGACGAGTTTAGATAGGTTTAGCGTTGATATATGCCCAATCAAGCATATACAATAGAGAAGTTTAGGAGAAACGGTCACATGGACAAAATTTGGATTATGCTATACCTTTGTCTCTAAACTCTAAACTGAACAAGATCCAAAACTAATATGTAACTAAGTATTTCACATGAGTATATAGCTTCGTTAGGAGATCTAGGGCCAGGTGTAGAGTTCAAATTAGGTCTCATAGAGAATGTGGCTATGATTAAGAAATCATGCACTATGTGGAGTTTTTGAATCACAAAGTGAATTTGGAATTGTTGTAACCTGATATTGTATTCTATGGTGATGTGTTCCATATTCATAAGAACATGAAATTTATCACCTTCGCATAAAACCTATGAAATATAAATCATAGTTAATTTTGGACATAACATTGTGAATTTTAGAGAACAAAGATATTTGACTGAATTTTGGATCCATGATAACATTGATCTAGTGGTTGTGAAGTGTTGAAGTCCGGATGGAGTGTAATTTTTCTGGAAGTTTAAAAATAGATTCTATTCAAAATTGAATTTCATCTATTTGAAATTCTATAGTTTTTTTTTAGACAAAATTTCAAGTTTGAATTTTCATGAGAAAAAAGTCAAATGATTTTGGCCAAGTGAGTTGAGTTCAATAATTTTTTTCGTGACTCTGAATTTAGTTTGGATGAAAAAATCTGAATATACTTATCTTAGTATTATGACGATTTGTATGTTGTCATGTGATAGCACTGTACGTTTTAATGCAATATATATATATATATATATATATATATATGCATGACATATGCCCTTCTACATCTAACATATCTCAATATGAAGATGAAAAATAATATTTACAAAAGTAGCTATTATGCTTCATAAGCTAATGTGATTGACCTTTTACGTACAGCTCAATAAAAAATAAAACGTACAACAAGTTAGAAAAATGATAAATCTTATGACCTAGTATAATAAACTCTTATACATTCATTCACCAACATATTGAAGTTTGCATCTAGGGTTCAATATAACTTCAAAGCTTAGAGAAATGTCATCACTTTTGTAGAAGGAATCGTGTGTAGAAAATAAGCTGCCAAGTGAATAGCTAGATCATCCCCTCGCAAGGATATAGTACTAGCAAAATTTTGGATCTATGTAAGAAGTCCCCTGGCCTGTCCGTCTTGTCTTCAAGCCCTTTGGGTCGGAAGAGAATCAGTTCTGAACAAGATTCATATGAGGTCATAATTAAAATTTTATCCTTCAACATCTGAAATTTATTTTATAATATTTTGATTGTATTTACAACAAAAATTATATTTTATAAAACCAAATACAAAATTAGACTTTTGGGGATGATGATGTAAGTAGTAAACTAGAAAAGATAGTAGAAAACATGGATCAATTCTTGGAGTTCACATTATTTTTTAAATTTTGATTCTAAAGAAACAAATCTTTTATGTTTAGACAAATTCCAAAAGAAGTATACACATATATATAGTCATTTTCACTTAGCATTTTATTTTAGAAAAATGCCATAATCCATTTTGACATGCTTGTGAGGAAAAATCTAAAAACGTATAATTGTGTGACATGCTTATCACTTTCTTTGAAAAAAAATTTGAATTCTAAGTTATATATTTTCATTTATTATTTATTTATATCTAATTTAATCCATAAAAGGTCATTCAAGTGATATAACGGTTCTTTCAATGTGAAGTTTATTTAGCTGAACTAGGGGCATATGTATCATTGGGCAGTTCTTAACATATAACAATTGAAAGGTAAACCTTTCTAAACCCATAGTCCATTTTCCCATAAAAGGGAAAATGGACTATGGCTTTCATTGTGCAAAAAATGAAACATGCTTGATGGATGATGAACATGACGGGATCATAGAAACTTCTTTGCCATGTTACCATCTGATACTTCGACTGAATTTGTATCAAGTGAGTACAAGGAATCCAAGGGACATGTATTTTGTTGGAATTGACTGAGGGAAGTAACTTTTCTTTCGGAGGGCTACAAGCACGTTACTTAACATTGCTTTTGAGTATCACCCATCAACGCAAGAACACACAATGCCTTGTAAGCCTATTTGTCAAAGCTTCTGACGAAGGACTACGTACATATAAAAGGACTTTTCATAAAGTCCAGGAATTTCAGAGCATCACCAAAAGCGAAAAAGAAAGGGCTTAGAATATGAGCAAATGATGTCCGGGAATTTAGCAAAACAAAATGATGAATCAGTAGAAGGGAGGATACTGACTCCTATAGTTGGGGAGGAGATGCAGATAAATCGAGTTACATAGTTCTCATCATTATAACGCTTGTCTCAGTTTGAAACAATTCTCATAGACTACCACTGATGATGTAGAAGATGACACGGATCTAGAGTCATGACAGGAATACGCCTAATATAAACACATATTTCCCTTATTCTTATGAGTTAAAACCATACGCGCCTTCCACACCATACGAAAGGAGCAGAACACACTATTTTTAAAAGAAAATCCTGCATTGTGATGTTTGCCTTCAGCAATGTGGAGACATGGCAATACTGTACCTTACAATCTGCACTCAAACATTCTTCAGATCAGTTGGCAACCCCTCCAAATGGACAGTGAATCAGTGAAATCGGAAGACATATAAGCCTAGGGCTTTGCACAAGATGGTACAATACCAGAATCCTGCTAGATTGAGAAGATAAAGCCTCTATCCTATGGTGGGCTACATGCTGCAACTTTTTATCTCCACAACATGTAATCATAAACCCTACTCCACCTTTTTGACTGATGAACTCTAAGATTCGAAAAGAGCAAAGACTGCAAATCGTGAAACTCGATGAACACGGAGAGACATACATCCTCTAGAGGTATACATTTAAACCTGATAACTGGTTCCATCCCAGATTTTATCAAATTTACAGCAATCTATACATTTGTCCACTGTATGCAACAGAAGTTCAGAATCATGTCTTGGTGAGTGCCTCACCATGTGGGGAGTATAGAAAAGCATGACCCGAGAGAGGGTATCCGCTGACTGAGAGCAAGTGGCAGTATTAATTGTAAAGTCGGCCCGATTTTTTCTGGTCTGACAGGAACATATCGTTCCTTGCATCTTGTGCCATTTCTCCATGTTCTCATGTTCCAGTTGCTCAGTACAGTATGAGATGCTGAAAGTCATGACCGAATGCGATGTTTCTCGCGATGTCAAATACGTTCATGTCTCATAGACGAAGGTTAAATATAGGTCTATTCAAAACAAAGAGTCAAAAAGTATGAAGGCAAGTGGCAGAGGCTTCACAATTCATGCTGCAATGAAGTCTTATCATTCCATTGCAGAATGTCTTTTCTCTTCCTCGATAGACCAGGTTATGGTAATTCTCTTTTGTCTAAAGGAGAATGAATAGTCCGGGATAAATTCTCAAGTGGAATTGAAATGGAGACCCGTAATCAGTTTTTACTAGTAAATGACATCCTACATCAACTACTGTTGTTAGATCAAACAAGACAATCATCACACTGTGCATGTTTGTTAGTTCAGATAGTTCAGATTTGTTAGTTAGACCATCATAGATAGATTATAATGCTTTCTTTTGCTTTCAAAATATACATAATGATAGTTTATTCATAACAATAGCTTACAAGACATGATATCGTATGGCAAATCTCACTTTGAGATACAATTACTCAATGTTTATGTATTAGCTGATGTAACAATCTACAAATTGAACTTTAAATTTCAACTTTATCCCTCTAGACTTGAGTCTACTAATGACCTTTATGTTCCTACAGATCTAAAATATGTAAATTGCTATAATTCATCCATTCTACTTTGAGTTTGTTCTCTTGCCTAATTATGCTAAATAAATCATCCATGTATGATGCAATTTTGAAAATAGTATGATAATCAAACATCACAACAAGTATATTATTATTATTTTAC